TTTTAAATATTTTATAAACTATTGTAAAACAATAAAAAAGATAATTGATATATATAAAATATATATATCAATTATCTTAAATATTAAGAAAATGTCAGTATTTTTGAATAATTGTCAACGTAGACAATGCGAGACTTTAGGTATATTATGGGCTGATATTGAAAAAACTTCGCATCTTTGTACGCCAACAAAGTAACAATATATGTAGGCGTAATTACTAGTACATTGCTATTTCAAATTTGAATACGCATAGATAATATAAGTGTTACCATTTGTTACATAATTAACGTACGACATTGAAGCAGTAATATCGAGAACATATTATTATAGGGGCATACCATCGATAATAACAACCATAGAGCAAAAGAGTTTTTAATTTTTATTTAGAACATTACAAATGTACATCCCCTTTTACATAAAAAAAAAGTAGAACGGTTAATAAACCTATTATACCTACTGAACTGTTTTTATTTTCTTTAGAACTAGCTTCTTCATTTGAAAGGTCGTAATAAGTATAATGTTTATAGTCAATTTTAGTTTTTGTAAATAAGATAATTTTTTTACCGAATGAATCAGTAAAATATACAGTTTTTGTCGACATAGGTAACCGTCTTCAAATATAGTAATAAGTAAAAATCATGATTTTAAATAATATATCTACACTTAAATGAACGCGTTTCTATGTATATGTGTGTCTATGCGTGTGTACGTATGTATGCGTTTGCATGTGTGCAATTTAGTATAATTGTTACAAAACGCTCTAAAGATGAATGTATTAATTGTTTAACCATATGTCTTGTCGGTTGTTATCTAAATTAACTCTATTTTACCAGGTACCTACCTACACGAGTATTACCTTATTGCGTCGGTGATTCCCGGCTATCAGTACAGTGACAACTTAAACAGATAAAGCTTGCACAATACACGATTCTTTAGGTAAAAATGTTACTGAGCAAGTTATGTAGTAATAAATCGTGATTAATTATTTGACAGTATTTTCTTTATATTGGGAAATTCAAATGACATTTACATATTCTACAGCTAGCTGTACCTCGCGGTTACTCCCGCGTTAAATTTCAATATAGCCCATTTGTTATTCTGATGCATAGGCTATATTACCTACTGTAAAGTTTCATGAAAATCAGTGCAATAGTTTTTGCGTGAAAGAATAACAAACATACTTATAATCTTTCGCATTTACAATATCTATTAATAAGATATTATTTGTAATTCTTTTGTGGCCGACAAGTATTATACTTATGTATAATTTGATTGTCACATCATTAAGTGTTTATACATATATAGTATTTATCTATACATTTCTCATTTACATTAGTGCACCGCCAACAATCTTTCTCTGCACCACTCATGCTTGAGATAACGCCGCAAGGGTTAAGTCTAAATTAATTGTACAGTTTATTTAGTGCATTGAAGTTAAATAAATGAAAAAGAACGTGGTTATACCAACTCTATATTTTCCTCCTGCAAATAATTTCATGTACAAGTAAATATATAATTATATTTAAGTATAATAATAAGAGAAAACATAATATGAATAAGTAACGCGACACCGACAGATCAAATGGTATTCATTACAGATCATGACGTATCGACGCAGCCATGTATGGATAAATCGAGATACGATTAAGTCATTCTTTGTCTCAAAGAGAGCAGAGCAAATACGACATCGCTCTAACCAATTAAGGAAAATATTTTTTCTACCTACTACTTTAATTACAAACCGTGTTTTATGAGTTATTTGAAAAAAATATTTCAATATCCTTTATGTCAATCATAGTAGATTGTTTGACTTTTAAATAATTTAATGATTGCAAAAGATCGTGTATTAAATAAAATATACAATTCCATTAAAATCCTAATAATGATAATTACATTTCAGATCTTTCAGTCATTCATAAAAATATTAGTATCAATATAATAAGAAAATATAAAAGTTTTGTGTTATTTACTACCCAATAATTGTAATCCTCTTATAAGTATGTAATTCTCTCACGTTACTACGGTTCGTACTAAGTGGATCGCACTTACAGATCAGATATTCTTCGAATATTTGTTCTAGTAAATAATATTTCGGTATCTATTTTCCAATAATTCTTATAACACATAAAATATAGAATTATATGATATATTTGTTTATATATAATATTTATTTTTCAAACATAACGTTACAAGAAACTAAAGGTTTCGCAAAGTCAAATTTAATGACCAGAAGTAAGAAAATGGTGTACTTATTTTCTAAATTAGAAGATCCGTTTAGCTGTCTCGTCGAGAAGGAAACGAACATGTTATAGACACGTTCGCATTCATATTTTTGTATGTAGTAAAGTTATTACGTTATTTTTTTTTTTAATTCATACGTTAAGTTCGCTTTAAATCAATCAATCTTGTAAATGGAGATCACTCTGTGTTCTGATTTTTTGGGAGTGTACAATGTCAATGGTAATGCTGTAAGACTTATTGTTCGAGACCGCCTACCGCCCACACTTGACATCTTTACAATTAGACGCACATTGAGAACATTAAATTAATGACATATCTGCTTTACAGTTCCGTAGTCAATTTATATTTTGGGTACATGTTATGTCATTTTATGTCTCTTCCATATCCACTAATGTAACGTAAACCATGTCTTGGACTGGGACACCAAATGATCATATCATTTATTAATATTTACTTTACATGTAATATTTGCGACTCAATATTTGATAGCGTGTGTCAGCATGAAGAGATGTTTTTATTATACTATACGTAACAGAACTGAAGTACATCTTATAAATTACATTCGCTTAGTCTTACTTAAAGTTTTGTATGGAATAAATATATTTGGATACATTTTATTTTTAATTGAAATCTTTAAATTAATACGGCGAAGCGTATTACGTGTACATATATTATATTATTGAGTAAACATATTGAATATAACATATATACAGAATTATAGAAAATATGTATATTGCAAGGTCATATAAATTAATTTAATAATATTACTTCTAAGTTGTGAAGTAACTTTAAGTCATTAAAGTAACTAAAATCGAAGTAAGTATTATAAACGTTTTTAATATAAAAAGGATGACAATAGTGCCTTCAATTAATCTAGCAAAGATTCCCCATCGTCAATTATAGAGGCTTATAAATATAAAGGGACTTCGGTTTATCAATGCACAGCCTAAACCGCATATTTTTTTTATATTAATTTTTAACAGTTATGTTTGAATACATTTTCTTGTACAAACAGATATCAAATATGGAAGATTTCGATGATACAGACGATGACGGGTCGGAGCTCGCACAGTCATATTAAACTGCCAGTAATTGGTAATGGAATACCTCCCTCAGAGAAAGTTTGGCAAAATACAAACATTCGCTGTGCAAACAAAAACGTGAATCCATTATACATAATAATTACGAAATTATCAACGGTGCCGCATGCAATCTGTCAATACTTAGATAATTATCATTTCAAGCAATAACCGCACGTTAGCTCAATAAACTCAGTAAAATTTTAAGTATAAATCCATAATTAATGCTGGAAAAAATGATTCACGTTCATCAATGTTCTGCATCACCACAGAGAGTAGTATAATATAATGACGTTATTTATATCCATATCCTTACATCCTATGTGGTTGTAGCCTACTCAAATATAAACGAAACGTCTCCTATGGATAAGTATACAGTATATCATGAGGAGATAAAAACCATCGCTCCAAAGAATATTCTTCAATTATTGGCCCTGACGTGCCCAGGTAGAGAATTTTGAAACAGGGCGAGCACAATAGATCTATGTAGGTTGCAGTTTTACAGGTCTTAACAACTGACAATAACCCAAAACCCTCAATAAAAAGAAATATACTATATGACGATGTCGTTATACATATAACTTTGCCAGCTTTTTAACACTTATCCATGCAGGTGATATGCCTGGATACATATTTAGTTCTCTATTGCAATGTGACCAATGATATAATGCTGATAGCATCTTGGGATTTCCATCCACATGAGTACAGAATGTATTATTTTATTGTCCAGGACCAAATATTTATACCAAATAAAATTTTAATAATATTTTTTATGTAAATGTAAATATTAATAAAATTACTTATGTTACTTGAACATGATTGTATATTAGTTTATTTAAAAATCGCCTTAGCTTATTAATAGGAGAAGTAGAAATAATAATTTGTCTTTGAGTGAATAAACTAACAAAAATTCAATATACATTTATTTCTATTGTATTTTATAATATATTACAATAATAACAATACTACCGGAACTTTGACACGCAATTCTTACTTATTCCATAAAATATCGCGTATAAATAAATAAGATGATAAAATGATAAATTAAAAATATTAACATAATAATAAGAACATATAGTTTACAGACGTAGATAGAGGTAGAGCCCATCTTCACTAAACCATTTGGCTTGATGTTACAATAGTTCTTTATTCAACGTTCCTGCACTTGATTTAATCACAGATAACATAATATTACATAATTTTATCAAAGTACTGTACAAATAAGCACTACCTATCACTATTTGTCATTGCTTTTTTCTAATATGGAATCTTAAAGACGTATTATATCCAGTCAAAAAAACTGTACTTATGTATTGCTATCAGTTATCTAGTACACTAAACACAAGCTCTACTTAGCTTAGGAATAGAGGAAACTCTTAAATAAATTAAGTTTTAAAAATTCATGACTGTTATCATGAATGTTTTGCATTGTTTCCTAAGGAAATATTTTGTATTATGTGATAAGAATCACAAAGATTCAATGCATTTTTTTAGAAACATTAAATCAAATTTTATTCAAACTATTGCTAAAAATCAATACGGAATGCATATTAATACAGTTCACGTCAACTTTTTTTGAATCAATGAGACTTTATTATGCTAAATTTTAAAGCCAAATTTGTCAGGCTAGTGTGATTGCGAAATCTAGCTGTATCTCGTCTGCGCTATACTCCTACTCACTTCTTAAGCATGAACGCCTTGCTCAACTCCTTAAGGACAGTGGAAACGATTGCACCAGCAGCCGGCACTGCAAGCACGGAAGCATCCATGCAGGCAGACAATGCCGCCGGAGCTAAGACTCCTAGCCTGCTAAACCTGGAGTTTTCCCTCGACATCACTGTCAACTTTATATTCAATAGTCAAATAAAAATTTAATAACTGGTCAACTAAAGGACTCTTACACTATCAAACGCGCGACCGTAACCGCTAAGCGATCCGCTTCGCACGCTGTTTGGATCGCAAATGCGCGCGACTTGATTTCGATTCTGCGCGGGCGCAACTAGCCGGCTCTACTGTTAATCATATGCGTAAACCAGAGAATCTTTGATGTAAGCGTACGTACAAATTACTATATTTTAATTTTATTGTATTTAAGATTATGTACCGTTTTATAATCATAATTAGATTTATTAACATTAAGAAAAAAATGTGTACCTGAAGAGATTACAAAGAGGAGATATGTGATTTGTATTTTTTACCTACGTATTGGATAATTCTGTGGAAATATTATAAATGGAAACGACGACCTTTATAGTAAATACAGTATATAACTGTTTATGGATAATTCGTGTATTTGTTTTAAGATTGAATTAACTTAATGGAAAAATTTGGAATTAATTCTAATTGGAACTGTTAGTTTTATCAATTTTCGTAACATATCATATCTCATTTTAGGGTCTTATTTGTTTAATTCATATGTCGTTTTTTTAATAATGAACATATTTTTTACTCACCTACCTGAAATAATGACATATATTGAATTCACAATGACCTTTAGTTCAAATACATATTTCCAATTCTGTAAGTTTATATTTTCTATTAATACGTGACCTGCGCAGTAACAATTTTATATACAAAACGCCTAAGGTAGGTACTGCGCAAGCATCATTGGCAATGTTCAAATTTGGAATTAAGTCAAGTACCTACCTAATGCCTTACCGTGATTCATTGAATTCTTTTAATTTCAATTATTATTATCATTTTGACTGAATTAATAATATACTTAAATTAACCGTTTATTGGCCCAAGGAGAATTATATTATACAGCTCTGGTTATCCCTCTCCTGTAATGCTGTATCCATAATGTATAAGGAACAAATCAGCACTTAAGTATAATGTTTGTATGCGTAGCGCACGTTTTGGTATACCCAATCCATAGACAATTTCATGCAAATCATACAGCGCTGTTGCATATCAAGTCAAGGACTACGACCTAATGTTTGAATTGAATTTTCTGGGAGGTTATAAGGACCTACTAGGCTATTTATATGAATAATTTTGTATGAGGACCTAACAAGTAAGCAACAAGTTTTATCAGTCCGCTTGAAGTGTGTAAGTAAATAGGCATTCAAGAGCATCATAACTCACCTTAGACCTTCGGAATGGAAGTGTATCCCAGACATAGGGCAGATTGTTTTATACCACCAGTAGTCGCAATCAAGCATGTATATATAGAGAAGGTTGCTTAATGTCACTAAGTAGTCAGTTAGATCAGGTCAGTTTATTTGATATTCTAGTTACATAAAAATAAATAATATAGTACATGTCTTATCTAGTAATAGTTATGTGCTTCTTATACTAAAAACTGGAGTGTACAAAGAAAATCGAGTACCACACTCGTGCCAGAAACAGCAAAAAAAATATTTGGAAGGTAATATAAGTATGTATATCATTTGTTCTTTACCTACAAATCTACATGTTTGTTGTAGATACACAAAAAAAAAACAATATTTAAAAATGGTAATAAACAGCAAAGTATTAAAAAGTGTTTACTAAAAAGCAGTGACGGCAATCTAGTTGTATTATTATCTAGAATAGTTTAGTTATTTAGCTCAAATTCGTAAATACAACAAAAACAATTTTGTTTTGTATATAACTTGGTCACTTCTAACTTTGTTGATATTTCTTTTCAATGTAGGTACCAAAAAGAAAATTAGACAGCTACATTATAAGAAAGTATATTTCAAGTCCGCTACACTGCAGTATTAGAAAAATAAACATAATTGAACTAATCGATTCTCAACCGCTCATCGATATAATATAGGAGCAAACAAAATCGAATATTGAAATAATGATTGCGGAAGTAAGCCAGCTCATTAGACCGGCACTAATTAAACAGTCGTACGAATCGACGACTTTGTCACTACGGAGTTTGAAGGATGACCAGATTTCCCTTGTGTTTGAGACGACTCTATGATTAATAAGTAGGCCGATATAATATCCATCATTAAGATGACGCCCATGGTAGTCTTCCAGTTTATATCTTATAATCGCGGGTTCGATTCCTTACACGTTGCAAATTTTAAATTCATGTTTCTCTTTCTTTGTATTGGTCTGCGTGTATTGTAAGTGTTTTTTGTAGCTTTGATATTGTAAGGGTGCACCTGCCTGCGCTAACGGTATATGCTGGCGGGCAAATTTAAGATGATAGGAAGCATATGACGTCGAATGGCGAACTTACCAGAACATATTAGTCAAAAATAAATAATGAATGTGATTATTTGTATCGCTTAGGCTATTTTCCATGCATTCATTTACAAAATATACGTATATAAGTATTTATGTCACTTATTTAGTACCCATTATAAATTAAAGCTATGCTGAAATTGGGACTAGATGGCGCTGTGCGAATTATCCAGGGTTATTATATGCACCAATAAAACGGCATCGTCGGCACTAATAATAAGAACACAGGTCCAGCATGAACTGTAATGTGTGAAGGCCCTAAAACCATTCATTTTAGAACATAGCTACTTTACATAAATGGTAAAATCAATGTGGCATTTTTTATATTATATCTAAAACTATATTTTTTAATGTTACTCTACTGCTTACTATATTATGTAAGTATAGGTTTAATGAAGTATTTATTATTACGTACAACGGATCGATGAATAAATAATTAAATCGATAGACGCGATGTCTCAAAACATCACGTATCACATTTGATTACTCAATAGATATGTCGTTGATCATGATTACAAACGTAAAATTACAAACTGATATCTGTTTATAAATAAAAAGGTATCCCTTTTATATATTTGTCAATGGAACAGTTACTTCTTATCTTTGATCATCATCATTACCTTTATTCCAATATTTGGGGTCTGCGCGGCTTGTCCTCTTCTTCCATATCATCATCTGCTTCTTCCTTATCCCATTTACTTGGGATCGGCGTAACATGGTTTTCTCTTCCATTCATTCCTAGTCGCAGTCATCCCGTTATTTACTCCTTTTCTTATCATATCATTTTTCACACAGTCCATTCATCTCTTTTTCGTACCTGAGGTTACAATATATGCTCCTTTTATTCATATTTTACGCAATCGTGGTTTAAGTCGTCGTAAACCCAATGATATTCCGATCGTTCCCTGTTCAGTTTAAACAGGGATTGAAATTACGACGAATTAGAAGTCCCTTCCACTAAAGACCTATCCGTCAGGCAGAATTTGACCTTCAGGCGCTCAATAAAAACTTCCGCAGATTTGGAGTTACATATAGGGGATAGGGGGCAAGTGCAGACTTGCCCCCTATCGTTTGATGAAGTTGTAAAGGCTAGCTGCAGCCAATAGTATTCTACATCGCATATATTCACAATATTTTCTCTAAAATTCAGCACAAATACATTGTTATATTATTTTGTAAAATAGATGAGTGAATTTTAAGTTTCAAATAATTATGAATAATATTTACTGACCAAGATGACGCGACGGTGCAACGGTATTAAAACAATTAAACTGCTGCGGTATAGTGTTATGTCCCAAGTTTTGATTATACATATTTAATCCACACTTTTATAGTCTTTTGTATTGTTTGTTCTTTCCTCTATTCACTCTAATTATATAAATTAATCTCTGCCTGTAGAATTTATACCGAAATAATAAATAATTAAGTTCTAGCGTATTTCAATATTGATTTCAATCATCCTATATTGATTATAATTTGTAATAGATAGAGTTATTATTATTGAGGCTATAATTAATGACAAAATAAATGACAAACACACAATATAAATGATTTTTTAAAATTATTAATTAGTCAGTTATAGGAGACAGTTACTATCAGGTGAATGGTCAGCTAATTTCGAGAATAAACTAGGTGCAAATAAAACAGCTTATGTAACAATAAGCAGTTTTTATTTTTATTTTAATTTACTTGCTTAAATGTAGATATAAATAATGCTTGATAACGGTTTTACGTGATTACAGTATAAAAAGATTTAGAAGCTCATAGTTTATATCGCTTAAATCTCCTTTCTGAACTAATAAAATGATTGTACCCACATTACTGATTACACTCACACATTACACTTCCGGCTGACTAAGATTGACATCTTAGTCAGCGTCTTATCACTGAATTTTACTCTATAATTATTTTTTTTATACTACGATGGTGGCAATCATGCATACGGCTGATCTGATGCTATTATCAGGGGTATAACGTGCGCGTTGCCGACCCTTAAGAAAACTTAATATACTCTTCTTGATATCCTGTAGTCTCATCACTGAAAAAAAGTGAAAAAAAATTGAAAGATATTTTACGTTTCAAGCCTTGGTAGCTAAGAAATTAGTGAAACTTAGGTACTGCCGCAGACGACTTTTTACAAGATTAGATTGTTTAAACGTCTAGCGTCTGTTTCTTTGTTTTCAATGAATGTTAAGTATTAAGTAGTCAACTATTAAGTTCGTAGGAAGGAGGTATGAATTACCTATTATATGTAGACCATAATCAAACCGTATAACCCCTGTCTTATATCTTCTAAACGAAGCTAATTACAGAATAATTCACGACATCCTTTCAGTGAATACCGTGACGCTACTGGTATGTGTTATGAATACATAATATATCTATTCCAACAAAGGACGGCCCTCTCTGTATAAGGGTACCGCTGGAGTCATCTTTCTAAAGGAAGGTCAATAAACAAGAACAAAAGTCACGTATGTTGGTAGGTACATAGCCGTGAGTCACTTCATGTACTAGAACAAAGTTTTAAGTTTTGACTTTCCGGTAAGTTGTAAGTGTAGAGTAAACGAATTTAATGATCCCATTAACCAGACCAAGTTCGACCTTTGTCATAACTTCAAGTAGCGCCTCCACAATCATTACATAAAATTATATTTTGTACCGATCTCAAATATGTTGAATCTATATATGAATGAAATTGAAGTGTCTGTTTCAATTTTCAAATTATTATCTTTTCTCTAAATAGATATGAAACTATATTAGGTACTAACATTAAAAACAATAATTTACATAATTTTGTCTGTTTTACTAATCTCAGAAACGGGACTTTCACTCGCAAACAGCTAATGTTATAAGGAGTATCAGTATATAATATCTATCCATAGACTAACAATGTACCTATTACTACTAAGTACTTTTGATAGCGTAACGTGTGGCAGTTTGTGTAATTAGCGTTTAGTTCCCGTTGATACGATAATTTTAGCGATATCTTTTCTAAACTCTTACTTATAAGCTTCAGATTACTATGTTACTGCTGCATAGGATACTATTTAAGGGATAAATATAATACAATCAGCAGACATTAGGAAACTTCTATGATAATTTGGAGTCATTTTAACTGTATACAAGTAAGCATACGTCTTCCATGTACCTTATGTTACCATTGCATAAACTCCAATTGATACAAACAAAAAATGGACCAAGCTGTTGGAAAATAAACACTATAGACAAACTCATAAAATCCATTAATTATAAAATATTTTATTTTAATATATTCTTAACATAAACAACATTGTTCTTATTCTCTCTAACAGAATATAGTGATTCAACGAGTGCAAAATAATTATTGCTATCCAAATGCTTCTGTTCGACCTCCCCTTTCTTAGAGAACGCCCAGTCCAATGACTTAGTACGCTTTTTGCTTAACTCCAAAAAGTCTTTAAGTGTTCCTTCTAAATACTTTCGCCTGTACACTGTGTATATCCAATCGTCGGAGTTAGATCGTCTTTTGATATCGATATTTGTATCCTTGTCCCTAATCTCGCCAACATCTGACGCGGTCACAACACTAGCGCAGCCTGAAAACTGGCCTAACTGGCGCCTGTGGTATCTCATTCGGACACCAGGACCCGTCTCCACCTCTTCGCGACGCGCCATCCAGTAGTAATGAGTTATGGGATCTCGCGGGCCCCAATGTCGTGATGGTTGGAATGATGACTTCACTTTCTGCGGACAAAATTCATTTCCTTGTAGGATTTTGTAGGAAGCCCACCAGTCTAATATTAATTCTAGACGCATCTGGCATATTATGGCGAGGTCGCGTCCTTAATATATTATACCTAGTAGAGGATAAAAAATCGCTTATGCAAAACAAATAGACATGAGTGAGCAATTCGCAGAGCGTACATTAGTAGCATAAAATGTAAAAACGGTTGGCTATAAAATTGAAATTAATAGGTACAAAATTTAGATAATTTATTAAATCTTGTTAGATAAGGCAAACGGCAAACTTGTTCTAAATAGATATAATGCTTTTGAGTTTGATTAAGAATACTCACCGATACAAAATCGTACTGCACCTGTTTGGCTATGGACACTACCGCGAATATTAGTACAATGAGTATCACTAGAGCCATCGCCGAGAATATCCCACTGGCTTCCCATGGTGGTTCCGTGAAATTCAATTCCATAAGAGAAACGACCAGCCACCACAATAGGAAAGGAGTTATGATGCCTGGCGCGGCACACCAACCCCATACCCAATATGTTCCCAGTTTAGCGCCAGTTAGGAACTCTACGTCTTCAACTAAGGCTTTCCAACCTGAAAATTTATAAGTTTTGTATGAACGATATGGAATGGTATATTTGTCTGCATCAACAGTATACGCTAGCTGGAAAGAAGAGTAAACTACCAGCGAAAAATTTACAGTGAGGTTTGGTTGTGAGTACAATTATTGTGAAACAGCGTGGAAGTCAATCTCAGTAGGCTCTGTAAAAAGCCTGTATATTTTCACCTATTTCGGCCGCCAAGCAGCTATCTTTATTCTTACAAGTAAAAGATGTCATGACTCTTTTTCTGAAATTTCACTGCGTTATGCGCTCAACAAAAACATAAACTAATGTTAGGTAGGAGGAGCAGTTGGTAAGTGATCAACAAAGCGAGATCAACCGGAATTAATGATAAATGTCATAAAGAGAAAATATCCAGTATTATTTTCTGCTGATTTCAATATTTCCATGTCAGGGTCTTGTTGTCAGGTCATAAATTTAGTCGGTTCAATAATCAACACTATGATTTAACAATTATATAATATTAAAATATAATGTTTTTTTATTTATATCTTACTAGGATTTTATTCCGACTAACTCCTTACTGTAATACATTGTATGTATACAGTATACGCCGTAAAGTCAATAGACCGCCTATACATATATTTTACTCGCATTGTTGTGTTTTTGTTTTAAGGTTACCTTGAGTAAATTCCTTTCAGTACTGTAGCCGCCACGTTCAATATATAGCATTATATATATATTGTACATGTATTTGTTTATCTATACAACTTACTAAGATGCGTAATAAAAAATCGTATTCTTTTAATCCTGTTACGATATTTCCAACAGGAATCAACGTCCATAGAATACGGTAACCATTTACCATCACATGAACCGTATGCTGGTTTGCCACCATCGTAGTATAAAAAGAAAATGGAATGTAATGGATTTATAACTTACAACTAAATAATTATAATATACCCATTTTCGATATACCTATATCTATATAGGTATATCGAAAATGGAAACTAATTACTTAATACTTAGTTTCGGTGTACTATTTAACAAATTGTACATTTTAAATCGTCCGACGTAGCATACATAGGTTACGTGGGCGGAAGTCAAATTAATATCTCAGCTTGAAGCAGAAGCAGAATTACATTAAAAATAAACCTATTAACATAGTATACATCTATATAATATTTATAAATATAAATCAACGTATAGATATACAATTAATTTTAAATAAAATTAACATAATAATACGAATTTTATAATAAGTTGGTTGGCCGAATAACTTGTTCATGTAGGTACCTAACAGCATGATTTTAAATAATTACAGTGTACAAGTATATAATAATTCGCTAGATAAAATTTTAATAATGCAATTTAATATAATAATGCGTTGTAATAAAACGGATAACTAAATATGTATTAATGATGAGTAACTTTAGATGATCTGTACCTATTCGATTTAGTGCAAAATGACACTCAACAATGGACCTAATAGTTGCGTAGGTTTTTGAAACATTAATATGTATACAACTTTTGTTATTTTGTTCAAGGAGGAAGAGGAGAGAGATGTAGGAGATGATTGTTTAAAGGAGCTATTGCTAATAATGTCCACAGCAAGTCGATTTCCACGCTGTCAGTTCTGGAAACGATCGCAGTTATTTTCTAGTAAAAAGACCCGACTGTATTCCTTATACGTACTTACTATTACTGTTGGCGACAGACCTCTTGTTTTAGTTCCTTTCTTATTTTGAACCATATTTTCATATAAAATTTTTGACATATATATTTCTATATTGTTTTCCAATTGCTGTGCCAAATGTGTGTTCTAAATATAAGATTAGTAAGTTATATATTTATTTTACTCTACTATATTCACTTCCGTTGCCATCCGTATGACCTACTAATAATATTTATGTATATTTTGTAAAACATTTTCTGTTTTATGACTTTTAAATAGAACACATTTTTTTTTTAAATGACAATTTCGGTTATGTTTTGGTTTAGCACATCGTTGTAATTCCTATGGTTGCTGGTCTGATTTCTCGCACAGTACATATATTTGTAATCTGTGTGTTTTTTTCTGTATATTATGTATGTATTTGCAAAAAAAAAAATGTACCTAAATATTTCTATCAGTTGTCTAGTACCGATATCAAAGTACCAAATATTGCATAGGTTGGGACTGGATGACGCTGTGTCAATTGTTTTTGTGCAGGTATTATAATACACAGATTACCTAAAAATATAACTCATATATGTACGTACTTATGTATTATATAAATGTCACTGTACGAACATATATTAATCCACATACTAGTATTCTAACGAGGAAAAATTTTATTATTTGTATGTAATACAATATTATGGCTAAACCTAAAAAATACTTGACCCATATGATAATACTAAGTATCAATTTTTGTACCAACTCCATATGGCCTGCGTCACGATGTACAGTTAGTTGACGAATCAAAAGTACCTACTAAGGAAGGGGGGAAGGGGTTGTTGGTAATGTGGATTGATAACCCCATTGCTAGCAATGTACGGTACATTCGACCGCAGACCGCATTCGATTACAGGTCGACCTTCACGCGGTTCCGCCTGGAAACCATCGTGTTAAATTCCTGGTAAATTTGTCACGATGGGCTAACTGCCCTGACCTCATGCTCATCTTATCATCCTCCACTGATGCCCCGCCAGCGTAAACCGTTAGCGCAAGCGGGTCCACCATTCCATTATCATCCACAAAAAAAAAAGTACCTACTAAGTTTTGAAGTAAAACCATATGTTATAAGCGCTAAAACTAACGCTCCTCGTTTTAACCCATTATAATTTTTTTTTATATTTCGTTGAATTTGATTAAAATATCGATGAATATTTTACTTACCATAAATAAAAACAAAGGCTAGAATTTCAATTATAGTTGCCATACTAATTAGCAAAGGTACAGTTATGTCTTCTAAAAGCTGCAAAGCGGGCATTCCACCTACTAGAGTAGCCAGTGCAGCTGCAGTGCCCAACAACGAATTAGCGACGCAGACGAATCTCCACTTGTAACCGCCAATTCGACGAAAATGATCGAACAGTGGGTACAGTTGTGTTAACTGAAAATTTGTTGAATTTATTTTACATCGTCAATTTTTACGTGATTAGTAATAGACTCTAGATCGGGTGTAATGATAGATAAACAATAGAAAGTATCCTAAACACGGTCTGTTTGACAAATTTGCCAATTATACGTCTCTGTCTTACTCATTGTAAGATTTAATTTTCTTATGTAATGATATAGTAGGTATATATGTACTTTCTAAAAAAAATATTTTGACGACTTTTTGGCAATTATAAATCGTTTTCATAATTATACTGTGGTTTTTGAAAACATTAATACAAAAATAATCATTTTAAAAATAATCATCTCTTAAAATATCCCCGAGCTATATTATCCATTTATTGACTTGTATGTAACAGGCATGATATAGGAAAAAATAACTAACCATTGTGATAACGCCTGATAAAAATAAAGTAGCAAACATTAATAGCGGCCACACATTTCTAAGTTCATTACTGTTGGCGATTTCGTATATCTGCAGAAGAACGGCGACGGGACTATTGTCCTTGTCGTCGCTACCTATTGCGAACCAGAACAGTAATCCGACCCAGCCCGCTAGTAAGTTAGCACCTACTATCGCCATCGCCGACCTAGAAAAATTAAGCACAGAACAAAACAATTAGCACTTCTAATAATTCAAAATAATAATTGTAATAGGTATATTAGAAAGGTAGAATGTAGTATTTCAGACAGCAAACAGCTAGTATTGTAAGTTGTGTTTCGGTTTGAATGAGGAGATATGGCAGTGAAATTACAAAGTGGCATGACACCTTAGTACTCCGAATTTGGTTATTTCGGTTTTCATGGGACTCCATGACCATCAAATGATAAAGCTACAACAACAATAAAGGCTGTATATAGACGTTTTTGCTTCGTAGTTTTAGGTAGGCCGTCAACTTGTTGTTATTTCATTTAAACATAAAAAATCGAATTGATGACCGCTAGACAGATGCTTTGAATTATAGTAAAAATTACTTCATATTACTTATGTCTACTATTACGTGCATAAATCAGAAATGCTTGATACAAGAACGATTACCAAATATGTCAGAAATTATAACATTATATGAATATAAAGTATTATATAAACAACCCTTTTTTGGTGAAGCGTAAAAAGCTACACTTCAATTTTCGCCCAAAAAAAACTTGAACAATACAACTCACCACTGCACATTAGTACTAGAGTATATACCATCTCCAGCAGATATGAGGTACCCTCCCGCAATCTGTGATGAGAGTAGGGCTTGTGTGATCGCAGCATACCAAATATCAGCACTCATAAACGATTGCCAGTCCTCTGTTTGTTGGAAATAATGAAAATTGCTTCCATCTCCTATTATTGATACAATTATTATCCATAGCAGAATAACCAAAGGCGTAAGTCCGTAAAAGCTGCGTTTCATCATTTTTACTGGATTAAAAAGCCTAAAACAGATTTTATTTATTTAGATACTAGGTATATTACGTAGCATTGCATGTGTTCATAACATTTATCGCTATAAAAATACAAACAAAATTGAATATAGACGGTATTCTGTCCTTATTTCTTTATAAAAGGTTATTTAAAACTAATCTGTAATATATAAAACTTTAATGATTATTACAAATGTATAAAAAAATTTAATTATAAAACTTTTAACACTCGTCTTTCTCTATTTTTGTTGTATTTGTCATTGTTACAAGATTTGCAAGGGAGAATATTTCAATTTATCAATAGTGGAGAGTACTATCCACTATACATATATGGACAATATTTCGATACCAAGTTAGTGTCGATAATTAACTACGTCAACAAATTTTCGACAGTTTGAAAAATAGATTTTTTTATCGGTTCTCGAATATTGTTCGAAAAAATATTGTTCTGCCAAGTATCGAGGAAGGAAGTATCACTGTATCACTGAGACGCTTCGTATACTGGTTTACAGCTAAAAAAAACAAGTAGGAATATGTCTATTTACTTACAGAAAGGGAAACGCGATCCAAAGCGCTATTATAACTGACGACATCGCCGTGTAGTATTCAGGTTGCTCGTTCACAGGCGCTAAGAATGTGTTACTGTGAACCAAATTCAACGAAATAAAATATTATGGATGCAAAAATATAACGTATGTTGGTCAACAAGTCATCTCTATATAACGGATCTTTATTACCTAATTAGAAAGAATTAGTAATAGCTAAAGCTAAGCTACCTGTAAGCTGTTCTTTATGTGATGTTTGGCACTTACCATATGGTCTGCTTCAGCTTATTTAACATTCCAGTTACAAAAAAAAACTGTACCATTAGCATTAAACCAGTAACATTAGTATTCCCTAATCTTCAAAGACAAAATAATATCTTCTAAATCTTTTTTGTACATACATAGATATTATTAAATGCCAAAACTTATATTTAATCGCTAACGTAGATATAATTATTACATTTTTGATATCGGTGCTTTATGTGCCTTGTATATTTTATAATAATACCACAAAGCTTTTATAATATCATATTGCCACATACCTATTGTGAAGTAAGAAACAAAAACGTTAATATGGAACTTGAAATAACTTACTTAAGACATGCCGATGCAGTAATATTCTCATCAACGTCCTGAAAATAACAAGTCATAAGTACCTAGCAGACATTAAGTTTATTTACGAAGTGATTTTAAGCCATACAGCATTAATTTTTATCCAGTACCATAAATATATTGTCAATTTAATAGAACAATATAACAGCATGTAATTTAAATGAATATTTCTGAAGATATTAGAAATTTAAAATGCAGGGACATAGCGGTACGGCTGTACCATATACTGTCTACTGATAAAAAAACTGTAAACGTCGTATATGAAAACATTCTGTACTAGGTAGGTATATTTTATAAAAATTGAGATGTAAGCTATCAAATCTTTCAAATTGAATCAAATTGCACACAATGTCACACAAATCAAATTTACAATCGGTTCAGTAGTTTAGTAGTTCATCGGGGACAAACAACGTGACACGTAATTTTATTATATAAAGATATATATAAATATATTTCACCATAAATATTTTTTCCGGAGTTTCGGGTTAGGTACTTATTATAAGGAAACTTTACTGTATGTTTCTTTAGTGGTTTAAAAAATTAACATATATATGTCTATTTATAAAAATAGTTGTAATGATATTTCATTATAATTATAGCTCATTTGCACGGCCGATTAAAATGTAGAAAACAGTAGGTATTTACAAAAGCTGTTTGCCTATATTGAGTAGGGATGTAGAATAGTTTATTCTGAACAAACCACTTGCAAGGAGTGCATTAATTCAGCTACATATACGTACATATATAAATATCACTCGAAACAATAGCTTACCTCAGGTAGAAAATCATCGATGCATTCCAAAAACGGTATTGAGTTGCTGAGTGTATAAAAAAAGTACGTAATTAGTAGGGCCATATGAATCACAGTGTACACAGAGCCAATGAATGAAATAAGTAGCCTGATGTAGCCAACACCTGGAACAGTAGAAGTACTATATTATAAAAAAAAATATTATAAATGAATATCATTAAATATAAATCTATTAAAAATTGATCAAAGTGTTTTTGGTGGTACCAGATTTGAAATATAAAAATGCCTACAAAAATACTAGTAGTTTTTAAGTTTTTTTAAGTAATACTACTACTACTACTACTACTTAAATAAAATTTAGTAGCACCACTACTACTTAAAAAAGTCTTGTGCCAAATACTAATATTATCTCTGTGTCTGATTTTTTCAAATTATCATAATAGAATGACACACCCATCTGCCGAAAGGTATATGCAGGCGGAAGACTAGCTAAGTTAAGGATGATGTGATGTCAGATCTGGTAGCCCATGAATTGACTAGGAATTAAGCATGTGTAGATCGATGCGACATAGGTAGTACCACTAGAGCCCTCTAGAACCCATTACTAAAACTCCTCGCTTGTCTCACACACACAGAGGTTTTTAGAGTGATGTTCAGGATTTTATTAATAGAATGTTTATGTATAATGGGCCTGCGCTAACGATTCCATTGGGGTGGCAGCAGTGCAATAAAATAGTATAAAAATCAAATTGAATCAAATCAAATCTCATTATTGTGAATTTACCACTAATTAATCAATATGGATTCTAAGGAGAATACTTTGGTTTTAGGTCGACTTAACATATTACATTGTGTTCAGGGATTAACCACATGTTTATAATTTGCTGTCAAAATTTACTTTTGCACTTATTTTATATGGACATACGGAAGTAGTGATATGTTGTATTCTTACACTATCACGACACTGGTGATTAAATACCGATTACATACCCTTAAAGAATGGAACAGCTTTCCAAATCCCCACAGCATCTTGCTGACTCAACTGACCCACAGATAACTGCAGTAAAGCGACAGGTAGGGCCAGGAAAATCATGACGAAAGTAAATACAATTCCATAAGTGAGACCTCCATAACGGAATCCATCCCTTGGTACACGCCACGTGCTGTTAAAGGATACTGCCACAGCTATTGTACATGCATGTGCCCTAACAACGGGCCAGTTTACCCAGTTCTGAAATTTACAATATATATCTTATTGAATTCTTACATACGTGAAATATATATTTATCTTCTTTAAAGAAAAAAAAACTTATCTCGCTCCTGCTGTCTGTACGCTTAGATATTTAAATAAACTCTATTCCCCCAAATTTATGTAAATTTAAATGAATATGTATTATTGTAAACATGTACAGCATTTTTTTTATTTTTCTTATCATCTCGAAATCATTCCGAATTAACGGTAGATTTGACATATCTTACATGAATAAAAATATTTTGAATTTGAATGACGACGACAAAGTACGTTGCGCTCTTTAATGTACTTTTCAATAACATAGTATCACTCTATGTATGAGTAAGTTTCTATCTTTTATATATTACAAAATTATGTATAATTACTAAGCTACTTTCAACAATTCAGTTACATATATTTTATTATCTTTTTCCAATAAAATGCATTCGATACGTAATTAATTTCTTATTGATGTATAAAGCCTGGTACAACATATAATTAAAATTAATATTTTGGATTTATTAAATCAGGAATTTCAAAAGTGTGGAAAGAGCTGCTGGTCCGTTCATTGGTCCCGATGGACAGCGGTCGGCGAGAGAAGTAAGACTGATCTCTAAAGAAAACAATTTTGTACTGTCTCATTAAGAAACTATGGTAAAATATTGTATATAAAGAGTATGCAGTATAAACTAAGTAATCATAATAATTATATTAATGTAAAGCAAAAATTTTGTACCCATTTTTACGATGGATGAATATGAAATATGCACATTTATAGTTCATATAGGGACGGAGTGCAGATGGCTAATATTTTTTTTTAATTATGCGTAAAAATACACACGTACATATTTGACACAAACACATGCATATAGTTAATCGCCTACGCAACCACTAGTATTATTAATAAGTCCACATTGCTACATATTACCTAAGTATCTACAGTATCTACATTGTACGCGTGCAAAGCCGAAGCGGATTGCTAGTTTATTACTAGTATCATAGATGGTGTTGAATAGATGTATTATTTTTTATTAATGTAATTACAGATGGCATTAATTACCTATATGGCCTAAGCGTCTCAATTTATTCATTTAGGGTTTTTATAAATACTTATCTAAAAAAATAATAAATTAGAAGATTTATCTGTTATAAACTAGACTCGGAATGTGGGCTCAAGAACGATAATCGCGTATCTCTGAATTCGCGTAAAATGGGGTGGGTGGCTTACGTCTGGCTATTAATGTATTTACATATTTATACATATATCGAATGTAGACTAGTACCTGTATAAAATACTAGATGACCTGTGTGTCTAAAGTTGAAACGCGCTATGATTTCGTTTTGAGGAAAGGAGTAGTCGAGTCCGTAGAAAATTTTTAGTACCTAATGATTTCTTAGTCTTAAATGAGAAGAAATAATTTTTTTAGAGCCCTGGTTTCTATTTAAATCGAGTCCTCTCGATTTTTATTTAAACCGGGGCTTATAATTACCAAAATCTCGGAAGGCGGAAGGAAGATATACCTACGTAGAAAGATGAATTATTAATCTGTTGGTGACAGAAATTTGATACTACGAAATTCCTATTTTCAATGTTGTCATCAAATATGGTAACTATATTACTAGTAATAATATATATAATAATAATATAAGTAATATATTACCCATAAGAAATAAATCTATCATGGTTATGATAAATTCGTTCTTCAACAATATTAATCTATTCTCAATTTAACTACAGACTTTAACGATAAACAAAAGAGTAGGTACATATGCATGTATGCGAAATTTCATACTTCTCCGTCTGCACAATTATCGTAAAATGGGGTACACAGGTTTTATTTTACGTATTAATATGTAAACATAAGTGCAATGGACTCAACATAAAATAATAAGTTTTACGCAGAAACAGAAATGATAAAATTATGAAGAGAAATTTATTTTACCTATTTATGTATAATAAATTTCTCATAACGTAATTTAATACGTCACATGACTATATTCTTTGGCTGCAGACAGAGTCTAACCTAGCACTGCATTATAACATGTTATTTGAGAAACATTATAAAAAAATATTGTTACCTTGAGCCGTAAAGAATTTAACATATCTATCGATCGCCACTTAATCGAGTCGTACTTTTCACATAAAACTTCACACCATTTTGAAAATCAGCATCCCACTCGGCTACACTATTACAGTTTTGCAACGTTTCTGATATTGGAGATAAACTGATATCAAATGTGTGGACTAAATCGATCTATCTGAATCCAAGTTATCAGTTTTGAAGTGGTATCCCAGCGGGTTTGTGTTGACTCTTATCTCACGATGGGAGATACCTATTGCACGCAGTCATAGCGACCAGTAGAAAGTGTCGAGGTAACTAATATAACCAGAAGTTAGGGAAAAGAATAATGAAATATTTGGATTGTGCACTAGTGCCTCTAATCTATTGTACGATAGTGACCAGTCTCGGTACTAGGTTATAAAATAAACAATGAGAGAAATGCAAGGTAATAGGTACATATATGTAACAATTATTGAATATGGACGGATTTAATTGTTAGATATTACTTATATAAAAAAGGCTAATAAACCGATACAGGTTCTGATAAAAATTTTGGCTTGTTTGGTTGATCTCATTAATATACACCAAAAGCGTTTGGAACGTCACTATTTCGTTTGTGAGGTCTGCGGTAACTCTCATGACTTGCATTTCCTAAGCAATAGTTTCTGTAAATATCGTACAAGGAGCAGGACATTGTCGACTGCATACGGACCAGGAGTAACCTGATATTGAGGGTGACACAGCTGAAGTCGAGAAACACAATGTGAGTTTTATGACGTATGTCGCCCGGGTTCCCACCAACATGCTGTCCCTCTTTATGAAGAACTACTGACCGGAGAAGGTAAGACTATCAGCGCTATAGTGGCAGATTACCGTGACCACATAGTCACAGTGATACAATTGAAATTTTTATTATGAGTTCATATGTATGTTAGTATATAAGATATTTATAATATGGGCCATTGATAGTCTCAATTAAATAAATATATTTATTATTATTTAAAACTTTCTTATCTAAATTAACGGGTAGGGCAAGAATTAAAACACGACTGAATTTACGAAGACTTTATTCCGAATAATTCCATATCGACATTTATAATTGATACATACAGTTGAGATCCAAATGTGATTATAATAAGAACATAATGACGGATAAGACGAGACATAGTCAAATAAACAGTATAACATACAATCCACTAAAATTACATTTTTAATTACAGCTTGGCACTTACCAACGTTTATCATCTCATACAATCTTCATAACTTTGGAAATATATTTAGGATGTAGAAAGACAAATTTTATCGCTGAAAATAAATATATCCTGGTCACGTGATATTACTACTACTACTAATTGGTGGAAATGAGTTTGTTACATTCTCACAACTTCGTACTTGGTACGTAGTACGTGCGCTATAGTTCGGGATAGAGAGACTATAGAGATTTTTGGAATCAGTAATAATAAATGATACTGATAAAAATTTAACCTTTGACAGCATATGAGTCTATCTACTAGCACCAAGCTGCGCAGAAATAGAAATATATTTAACATGTTATCAACTAAACGGCAAATAAGAAAGATCACCAATCACTTATTTTTTAACAATATTAGTAAGAGCAGATTGTAAAATAAGGCAATTGCCCATAATAAAGAAGAATACAATTTATGTGACTATGTCTTTTCTATGTGGTTTAATGAAATTTTCACTAAAAATATCAGTTTCTTGATAGTGGACTTGACGTGTCGTGAGTTCAGTAATAATATAATTACGAAACATTATAAAAACATAATGACAAGAAAAATATTCGCTGTTAGTACATTTATTTGTAGGCCGTGACCATTAATTATAATTTACCCCACATTAATCGTAACACCTCAATAGACTAATAAACCTACATATTTTAACTGTTAAAGTGCTCTAGCATATTTTTTCAAGCTATGTTTTTTATAAGAAAAAATGTGACAGAGCACCGTAATAGTGAAAAAGGATTAATATCTTGTTTTAGTGTTATAAATAATTGGAGTAATAGTTAGAATTTGCGCAAACAAGGCCAATTCTCTGATAACCGTCGCGTATACATGAAAACTGCACTCAGGATGTCATCACTTCAGTATAACATTAGCCTACTCCTAAGACTGTCATTTGTTTGCACAGATCCTAGCATCCACCACTATCAAGTAACTGTATTTTTTACTCTGTTCCAATTTACATAAGTGGACAGTAAATTAAATTAACAAGTAATTTGTTCCACTAAACACCGACTACCAATTGGCAATTTTAAGATTAAACACCCTGTTGATTGAAAAAAAAATAACATAATTGCATTAAGTTAATTATGGGCGAAAGTATTGTATACCAAACTTAAAATTACCATCGAATTAAGAACCTCCTTTAGGCAGTCGGCTGAAAATATATTTTCATAGGACCTATCTAGTAATTTATTATTAACTTTACTACGACAACGATTTACTTGACTATTGATATAGATATTCATAAAAGGCCTTCATTACAAATAAACATACGAATATGTAGCTTGTTATTTACTGTATTTCATTGTAAATTAAAATTTACTCAAACCTTATAGAAATATTTTTGAACAAATTTCAATCAACTAAAAACCATCCAACGTTTATAAAGATATTACAAAAGGTGTAAGGATTTTTTTTTTCAATAAAACAAATGGTACTTTGAAGTTATTTCAAATTATTATCTAAATAAAAAAAAGAAGTTTAACAGTCGAATAGTTAAAATGAGTCTAAAATAAAGTGTACTTAGTTGCGTGTGTTTATTTAGTAAGAAGGACCTCCTAAGAACTTCTTGACAGAGTAGTATTGAAGTTGAACAGAATCACGGAAATCGTTTTAATCTAAAGCATGGAGACTATGCATTGTAAACACCACATTTATTATTTATTACACAACACGGAAATATATTTAGTATACCGAGTTGTCACCGGCTTTATTCACGCATTAACAGGAATATTGTTCAATATGGAATATAAGAAATTTTCTGACAAATTCTAACGCCCGTCAAAAGACACACATATGGGAAGTGTCAACTCACATAACGTATTCATTTGCTGTAATCTAATACGTACAGGCGAAGTTTTTGCTGACAGAAAACATCTAACATTACCTATACATATTACTTAACATACTGTGAAATTATACATACTAATCGATTGTCACAGCATTCGAGTGGTGACTATCTAGCGAGAAAACAAATACAACAGTGCCCAAATGCAGTGAGATTGTGCATTGCACGTCAGTAGAGTCACTGTGCTGTGATGTGATTGCATAATGTGGGCCGTGTTTTACAAAAATAATCACTTTAAGTAAATTTAGTGTCAATGATATAATTATAACAAAGAATTTAAAATATAAATAGACAGTATTAACTGATATCAATCTTTAATCAACTTACGAATAAATCATTCACCCCATATCTTGTCTGTCCATGTTGTCCACCCTAAACACACGAGCGTAAACGTACTTTCAGAAACGAAAAAGCATAGATTCATTAATAAATAAAATATAATAAAACAATATTTACCTGTTAATTATCGTGAATTAATAACTTAGAGGAACGATTACATTGAGACATATATTGAGACACCTATTGTAACATCAATCGCGATAAATATTGAGACACATATTAATAACTATTTAATTTAATTTACCAATATTTTAAAAGGAATAATGTTGATTACGTATATATTCAGAAAAACGTTAATTAGTTAGTAATAGTTCGAGAGATGGTGGTAGAAATCTAAGGAGCTATATGGGGCGAATCACACCAAAGCCGCGGACCTATGGAGCGGCTGAACACCTACTCCTAACAAATACGACTTGAGTCTATCAAAATGTAAGGAGTTTAAATCCCGGCTCAGGCTCTCGTAATTACGCTACCCGTTGGATTGGGGCAGAGGATCGATCTGAGGAGCATAGGGAATCGATCGATCGGGGGGCCCCGGGGGAGGCATAAAAGGGAAAAAGGATCGGAAGGGCTCAGTGGTTGAACTGAGGGGAATGGGCACAGGGAAAGATTCATAGGGGCTCAGGGGAATAATGGTAGGTCACAGGGAAAGTATCGGAGGGACACAGTTGATGAAACAAAGGGACGGGGTAAGGACTGAAGGAAATACAGTGGATGCATAAAAGTGGCGTATAGTAAGAAATAGAAGGGCACAGAGTATATATGGGAGAGATACAGGGGAAGGACCGAAAGGGCAGAGGGGATAGATCAGAGGAAAACAGGGACTGCCCCCGTCAGAAAGGCAGGGCAGAGGCCCTGCCCCTCTGGCGGGGTACAGGCAATGGGCTTTAGGGGCAGGGGACGGATTTGAGGATACAGTAAAGAATAAGGGTATGGATTAGAGGGTCACTGGGGATGGGTCGAAGGTGTACAGGGGATGGATAGGAGGGTACTGGGGGTAGATTAGAGGGATAGAGGGAAGGTATCGAAACGTACAGGGAATGGGCTGGAGGAATACAGGGGAAAGGATCGAATGGGTATAGGAGGTGGATAGGAAGGGTACGGGGAAAGATGAGGGGTACAGCGAAAGGATTAGAAGGTCACGGGGGACAGAGTAGAGGGATACAGGGAATGGAATAGAGGGTTACAGGGGATGGAATAGAAGGGGGAGAAGTAGAGGGATACAAGGAATGGAATAGAGGGGTACAGGGAATGGAATAGAAGGGCGAGAGGTAGAGGGGTACAGGGAATGAAATAGAAGGGCGAGAGAGAAATCACTTATCATATTAATACACAACATCAATCTATAATCTAGACATATATCTATAATCTAACAAATATATGAAGCGAAATCATTATTGATTATATCATAATTTAGGCCTTGCTACTTCTAGAAAATGCAGAAATGCCTACAATGGCTTATATAAGTATAATAAGATATATAATAAAATTAAGTTTACTACTTAATAACTTGCGAATTCGGTACGACGATGCTGATTACCGACTGGCTGTTCTGTCGAATGATACGATATTGGTGTGTCCTAAAGTTTGCCACCAGCTCTCGCACTATCAAAACTTGAAATCGATCCATACCATCGTCCTACAAGCGGGATAAGCTTAATACTCTGCGTGCCGTTGTAATACATGCTTCAATGTTTCGTTGTATGATTGTCACTTACTATCGTCCCTTTCTGATAAATGTACCCGATTAAATCCGTAAATATATGGAGATGATATATCGGCGCGTAAATAGACAGCATACGAAGGATATGTCAATTGACCTATACTTTAATCAGATTAAACTTACATTGTCTTACACGATTTACAGTCAATCTCCCTCCTATCTCAATCGCACTTTCAACGCTCGCTCTTGGGAAAGAGCTACAAGTCGTTCATCACGTTTTCAACGTTTGAGGCACAATCTTAGTTTTTTATTCATCATAGAACCGCAACTCGTACCAGAATTCCTCTCAACATTTAATGGATTAAATACACACACACATTTATTATACATTTAAACATTTAGTAATATATTCGTAAGGTGACGGAGTGAGAATATATAGGTCACCACTCCTTATCACCATCAGACATGTAAGAGACGACTATGGGAACGAAGCACATAACACCAGTGCAAACAAAAGAGAACTCTAAATAAAACCCTATAGACTAAGCCTGGCTAATGTCTTATTTCTTGTTGGTAGAGACTTGTGTCTCACCGGTCACTATCTGAATCAATCGTTACGATGACGATACTACGAATGTCTGCAGTAAGTAGCTTTGACAAGCTGAATCCTCCATGTCTGTCTTCACGACGATTGTTGCGATTTTAACGTTGGTAAAAGTAGTCGCGACATGTAGACGTGTAAAAGTCATGTTTTATACAAGCAACACAACTTGTATATTCTTGTAATTGGCATATTTAATAAACAGTCTTGGATATATCTTATAACAAAATAGCAGTACATATTGTGCTATTACAATTAAAAGACGAATTAAGATTGATTACTAAATATACACGCAGTAAGATGGTGACATTATAGATGGAGCCGCGTCCACACGTGTGTTATGAAACGTGTAATACACGAATCACGAGTATCATATTTAACACTCGTCACAACGAACGCATTTAAGCGAACAATAAGTATGCAACGCTCGTCTGCACTAAAGTAAGATAGTATAATCACCTATATACGTGATATTGTTATAACTACCCATAAATAAGAGTTATTAAAGAGTCTAAGAACAGACTAGACAGATTTTTCTTTTGTAGGTAGATCTACAGGAATCAAGCTGTGAACTATACCCTAAGATTTTTCGTAGTAAGATGTCAATAGGGGACGGACTGATTTTCGATAGAAAATAACGAAGTGAAGTTTTATAAGCATTTTGGTAGTTTTACGCGGTGCTATCTATTAATGATAATTTTCAATAATTAAATTAATAATTCAAGAGGCTGATATAGTTTTTCATGTCATTCAATACTACTGTGAATGATATTTACATATTGAATGAAGCGTTGTTTCCAACGCTAAGGATGCGTGCGCATATGAACATTTCGTCACTTTGTAACATAAACTAGAACATATTCGTAACGTGTCCATGTTACAATATAGCACACAACAAAATGTTCATACATAGTACATACCCTAATAATTAAACTGAACCAGTCAGAAATATATTAAAGATTACTGAACTAGATCCATAAAATTAATATAATACACTTGTAATGGCCGTTCCAAGAAACTTATGATATAGTATTAGAGTACTTACAAATAAATATTTCATTGGTATATAATAGAAAATATTACCATTTTTATACAGTATACAAATTTTCCAGCCAGTTTACAACAAGCTGGTATATCCAATTGGTAAATTTTTTATCTCCCTAATATATAGCCCGTCGATTCTTAATTAGAATAAAATTATAATAGTGAGCAGTCTGTGTCCTATTAAGAATATTACTGGGAATAGCCGTAAGATGGAAGTAACGGATGCGGGGAGCAGACTCGAGTTAAACATTGCGTCAGGTCACAGTGAGTGTCGCTTAGAATCCCTGCGCGTGGCGACAGACGCCGCAGCCGAGAGCATACTCCTCGCCGGTAGCAGGGTGCTCTACGTGGAGGGGACAGGCTTCTGGTGTCCCAGGGAGCTGCTCGCCTTTTGGTCCTGTACCACAATTAATAAACACATAAGAAGTCATTTATTAATACGGAGTCGACAATGTGAGACCAACGTAAGAGAGCGGTCCTGAATTTCGACTGTATATGTACACCACTACTACTACTGTATATGAAACACCTAAATATATTAAATTTTATCTATAAACGCAAATAGCATTAGTTTAAAAATGTAAATTTTTTTTAAATATGAACTTTTGTTCGTCACACTAGAGGTCTCGTAAATGTGACCGACTATGACAAGTGAGCGGGATAATAAAGAATGATTTTTTGTAAATTAATTTATAGATGGCTCCTAAAATATAACATTTATATAAGAAACTTATATAGAATAAAAGTAATTTATATTAAAGCAACATGTCTAACGGATTCTGATGGCCGCGGGTTCGATTCCTCGCACGGTGCAAATATTTTAATTAGTGAGCATGATTGTTTGTTTCGGTTTGGGTGTTTATATATATATTTACAAACAAATACTACTAAATAAGTTATTACAGTTATCTAGTACACATAAAACAAGCAATGACTAGACTGAGACTAGAGGGTGATTTGTGAGTTAGTTTCTATTATTAACATTTGTGTCATAATAATACAAAGTTAAGATTCATAAATGCATTATGAATTCTTTAAAACTATGAAACATCTCCAGAAAAATGCTAGTTCGTATTGACGACACGAATCATGATATATTTTTATTGGAAAACACACTTTGGACAAGTAAACTACTGATTGCATTAAATTAAAACATCAATACATTTCATTGCGTAACAGGAATATGAAAATTTCAAACAATTAACAGAACTAGAAGCAAACTTCTATTTTATCTATTATTTTAAAATAAGTTAAGTACCTGCAGGACACTTAGGCAACTGATGTTTAGGGAGATTGGTGATGCGCTGGAAATCGTCATGGCAGGAGTTGCAGAAATGGGATGTCCCAAAGCAGAAGAACACCGCCACCTACATATTACAACATATCAATAAACTAATTCAGTGATTCATACTAACTATAAATATATGAATACATTATTATGTAACTGAAATGCATATTGTAGCATTAAGTTCATCATTACTTTGCCTTTATCCCATTATTTGCGGTTGGCATAGATGGCATCCTTTTCTTATAATGGTATCTTATCAGCTATAGTATTTTATTCGTTTTCTTTTTTACACATTTCATCCATTTCTTCTTTTATAATTCCCCCATAATACTTTAACAGATATAGCACACAAATCGGTTACGTTGTTTCTGAGATTATCGCGAATATTTGCACAGTTAAAGAAACAAAATTTCAAATAATAATTGTTTTCGGTTAAAGTTACTACTAACATCAACGTAACTAATAACAGTTACGTTGATTAAGTCCCGTAATGATAGTTTTTCCTCGTACACCTTCCATGTGCAGAGTTCCAAATTTAATATTACATATATTATGATAGCTTTTGCGCTTCCAAGAGCATCATTTCTAGTAGCTTCGGTTCTATACGTAAAACAGTCTAAACGAGAGGCTAAATGCAGAAGCTGATCCAATATAGAATAGTAAGATATAATAATATACGTACCGAGCAGCAATATCTGCACTTGTATTCGAGGAAGTCGGCTCCGTGCTTGGGGCAGGTCCTGGCTCCGGTGACGTCACTGCAGGCTCCGCAGACTAACTCGGCTGGCTCCCAGCGGGCATTGGTCTCCGCCTCACAACGGGCCAGTCCGCCGAAGTAAGCCTACATTGTTTATAAAGGTCAGTCTTATATACTAAACCCAGTATACTAGTACTAGTCTCGGTCCAGTGACAGTTTTTTTTTATGAATGACAATGCACTAATAGCGTACCTTGGAGAGCAGGCTGGTTAGTATATAAGACTAAACTACTAAACCTAGTATACCAAGATTTTTATGGGTGACCATGTAATGGTGTACCAGCCAGCACTAATGGTGTACGTAGTGAAATATCCAGTGCAGGATGATCGGACAAAAATGTCACATAATACATTTGCCGATTAAATTGTATTATTATATTTTTTAATCTTATTAAATTGAACCATGTAGTATATACATTACTGACAGACTCTCTAGTGGTGTGAACACAGACAACAAATCAAATATAACCAAGATAGGATTAGCATGAGTCAGGTTAGTTAATCATAGTAGACTCCAAAGGGGGAACAGTTGAGTTTGTCCCGGCAATGTACCATACATTGCTAGCAATGGATTCACTAGTGGCCATTAAAAACAATATTTAATTCCAGGTAATGGAAAGTAAATATAAGTATTAGATGCTTCCTTACTTTAAAAAAGAACCTAGCATAAAGATAAATAATTAGTGTTACTTTTTAATAATTAAGCGGTTATTATTACGCCACCTAGCTCACTTTGATGTCAGTTTTATCTACATTTCAATAAAAATCAGGTAAAAGTACATCATATCATAAATCTTAATAATATTATAAACGCGAAAGTTCCTAAGTATGGATGTTTGTTACTCTTTCACACAAAAACTACTGAACGGAGTTAGATGAAACTACAGTAATTTAGCTTATGCATCGGAATACATAGGCTATATTTTATATTGAAATTTAGCGCGGGTAAAAACGCGGTCACTGCTAGTATTATATATAAATTATAAGAATATATATATTACCCTATCGCATTTGTGACACACGTAGTAAGCATATCTTTCCATAGCGTAAGTAGTTGGATCTTGGGCCATTTTGCCGCGAGCTCCACCAGGTGCTGTTACTCCTTCATACTGGAGTCTCATGAGGGCCTTGCGTTTCACCTCTTCACGCAGACGCTGTATCGGTTGCAAAAGCTCCTCCAGGGCCCAGTGATCTATGTCATCCTGTATATCAAAGTTATTGACGGTCATAGTAGTCGTTTTAAGACACTAGTTTAAATTCCAAAACATAGCTCAAATTCGATGTCCACACAATAATATTATATACAGTAATTATTACGTCGCAGCAAGTCACATAAAAGTAAAAATGACTTACCTTGCATATGGGGCATTGGGCGAACGAAAATGAAATCCTCGGCCCATTCCACTTGTTGGTAAGCACTTTCTTGCAACAGTGCAGATGGAATACGTGTCCGCAGTGCAGCTGGGAAATTATATAAAAGTTAATTCCTAGTCTATGTCATTACTTTATGAATATTTCTATAATAAAAGTCATAGTAATAATAATGTCACATAGTATAATTCAATAATATCATTATATATTCAATCTTATTAACTGCAGCCATGTCAGTAATGTGTCAATTAGTTACATTACTGACCAATTCATTGGTGATGTGAATACAGACAGCAAATCAAATAAATATACTGAGACGGCGATAGATTCTCTCCGGTTACGTTGGATTCGAATATAGCTAGTAAATACGTCACCAAACGTAGACAATTAATAATATTTCTCTATTCTCCTAAGATAATAAATGTTATATATATCTGGATAACGGTTTTCCATCTTGCGTTTCCAGAAACTGGAACGCATAACCACATTGTGGAAGATATTGAAACCTTCAATAAAGAAGCTTATTCATTCTTAAAAGACTGGCAACGCACTTGGATATACGGATGTTTATGGTCGACGGCAATCACTTACCTTCGGGTGAGTCGCATACCTGTTTAACCCCTTTAATATATAAATATAGATATATTTAACGGCCCGGTGGTCTAGCGGTTTAGCACACCGTCTTACTTGCGATGGCCGCGGGTTCGACTCGGACAAACAACGGAACAAATATTTATATTCATGGTTATAATTATTAACACAAGTTTTGTTTAGCTTGGGACGCTGTGAATTTTCCAAGGATATTAGTAGTATATATATATTTACCTGTATAGCGGGCGCAGCTTGCAGAGGATCTGTGAAACAGATCATGCACATATCGTCGGCATCTTGACGCAGTGGGGTCGCGTCAGCACGACCCGAGCATCCGAACAAGCACGGCAAGCATTCCGGCTCGTGGCGAACACCGCGGCACATGTGGCCGCAACTCAACACACGGTTACAAGCCTGACGGCCGTGCTCCTGTTATAATGCATTGCAGGATTTAATATCTGAATTGCATACTGCAGAAGTTCATGATAAGATCCTTATACATAATTTTACAGATACTATAAACGTGAGTGTTTGTGAGTATGGATAGATGTTTGACTCCAGTACGCAAACACAACTGGATGGATGTTGACGAAACTTTGCAGTAATATAGCTTATACATTAGAATAACACATTGTCATAATTTAAAAAGATAGTATGCAAATTGGGCGAAATATAATGATAAATGACAAGTAAATGTGATGCAGACGACATTGCGCGGATCAGTTAATATAAAAATAATTTTCTAGTAGTTAATCTCACTAAAAATAAAAAACATGTAATCTGTATAACCCACCACCTTATAATCATCCAATTATTTTATTCTTCAAGAACTTTTTTTAAATATAAGTTGATAACAATTTAAACCTATAGGAAATCAGTGAAAAAATTAGACCCGGCTCAGAATCATCATATGGTGCTGTATCCTGGGTTCTGGCTGCTAGGTGAGTTAGCAAAAAGAACAAAGCAGTTTAAAATTCAATAGATCATAATTACCTGACATTGCTGATCAGAGCATACGTTTCCTATAGCCAATAGACCTGTGGCGCTTCGGGAACCGCAGAATCGGCAAGTACCCGCTACAGCTACTGTGCTCACGCCACCATCACTCAAATCAGCGGTATTGGGATCAAATAAGGTCTCTTTCTCTCTAAACTCCGCCAGACCCTTCAGCGTCTTCCTGTCCACTAACAACAGCAACCAGTAGAGTTTCACACGGCCACAGCCCTCGTGGATATCAACTCGAATGGCGGTCTCTTCTTCTTTGCACAGCTGTTCAGATAGATAAATAAATAAATACATAATGAGATATTTATATGTACAACTTTTTTTTAATTTTATAACACTGGACACTGAAAATGTGAACAACTCATATGTACTAGTACAAAGATGGTCGTATTGTTAAGCAATCTCTTCCAGACATCATTAAATATTGGTGTGGTGCTGATCCAATCATTAACCTATTCAATTTCACGCCAAATATCGAAGTTATTCAAAAAGTAGGTATTTAGTATCTAAATAGAATAAAGTTAAATAAACTTGCGTCTAAGTATTTATTTATGTATAACAAATGTAGATAATTTATTCTTTATTGTACACACACATATCCCTAAAAAAAGATTTCTTCCAGTAAACCTAGAAAATGTTATAGGATAGCGTTCTAACTAGATGTGTTATACATACGTGTATGAAAAAGAGGATAATAGTATTAATTAGAAATTAAATTAAGTATATAATAAATAAATATAATAATCACCTGTCTCTGATGATTACGGGCCTTGCGATGCAAATGCAAGAAGCGATCGCATTCACCGCACAGCGATCCACAGCATCGGCATTCGACAATGGCCAAAGTTGCCCCATCGTCGTGGTTTGAGCAGAATGGGCGAATTTCGACAACTTCCAAACGTGGTTCGTTGTCACCACCCACGCCATTTATACTGCATAAAAAAACATTACATATTATTTTTTATACGTGACGTTTTATGGCTCTGGAATCAGATCTTTTTGAGCCTAACTAAAACAAATGCTTAACTGCCATACATTATATAGACGTAAGTACAAAGTTTTTAATGTATTGTTACCTTAGACAATTAGAATTCTATTTATCGGATTGTTAAGGCTTGAGAAAGTAATGATTTAACGATTTGAGATTTTTTGTGGTAAAAATGCTGGTTTTACTTACATCTCAACTTGAGCCTGCTCGCAGACAGCGAGGGCAGCCAGTGCCAACCACATAGGGGGCGAGTGTACACATTTTTCGTAATCGCGTTCCTCGTCGCTGAATTGCCCCAGCTGCAGTACGTAGTTGGAAAGCGCACTGCGTGTCTCAGGTGCCCAAGCATGGGACAACTTATTCTGTTTGCATTCAGAAATTCATGAAAAGGAAGATTTACATCAGAGAGATTAAGAACAAGGCATATAAAACTAAAATATAGATTACGTAGTTTTAGACTACAAGAACAAAACAAATATTTTATTATAAGTAATGAACAGGTCGGGTCACTGTATTACATAAAAGTTGGCGAAGTAGTTGTAATGTTATGTGGACTCTATTTTCCACAATTTGCCTCTCATTTGGGCCATTGTGCGTGTAGAGTAATTGGTAAAGTAGTTATAAAAGATCATTCTTGAATAGAAGGTTCCAGCGCACTATTCTTTATATATTTAAAACACAGTGAAAGATATTATAATAAATATAAATTAACTAAGTATCATCGGTATATCTATATATAATATATCAATCGGTATCAGTTCATTTATTACATACCTCAGCCATATCGGATAGTAGTTTGGATACTAAATGAGCATGTTTCTTAGTGGTTTCCCCTTTCATGAACCACATAGCAGGCGGCAGAGCAGTCATGCTGGTACCCATAGTTACGGACTTGGCGCTAACGGAGCCCAAACCCTTTATCTTCACTTGTATAGTCATAGCTTTTCCTAGATACGCTACGAGATGGTCAAGTAGAGTGACCCTGTCGAAATACAATCAAAAGTGATGGGAAAATTCAGTAGATGTACACAAATAAATACATTTTAACTAATAACAGTCGACCGCATCACGACTATCAAACCTTACTAAAAAAAAACAATGTTCAATAGCAAATTAAAATGCAATTAATTTATATATATCTTCCTGTTCTTATACTCCTAATAGTAGCTATATATTAGTCTTTAAGCTCTAAATAGGAAATAAGTGAAGAGAAGAGCTGTTTTAACCCTCTTTCTTCGCACTTTTACAATTACTACCTGATGTTATAAAGGTTTTCATCATTTAATACATAAAATATACAATATGTATGTTATATTATTATATATACAATTATAAAAATGTTTTATTTACTTATATATGTAATATCACATTCAGTTCCACAAACGTATCTGACCACGTGACAGCGTCGCTGTTGTTGCGTAGGACAACAACAATATTATAATTCAAAATAGCGGAGTCAGTTCTAGTTTCCGCCAACGGATTCAAAAACTTATTATGTTTGTGGCTGTACTTTAAATTTATGGATTTAAAAATATTGTAGAGAAAAAAAAATTACCTTGAATTTAGATCATTTTTGTAATTCACCGCAGCTAGCATTCTCTGTGGTGAGATCTCAGTTATGATACGGCGTAGTAGCGATATCACCTGAATACATATAAAACATTGTACCTACATGCAAACTTGTAAAAATTATACAATTTACAATAATTTATATATATAAAAATAACATTTCCAATAACAAAATGCATGGAGCCTTCTAGAAAGAAACCTAAATGAAATGCTGTGCTAAAGTGGACTAGTAACACTAAATCACATGAGACTAACAAGTCATGGAAAACAATCTAACAATAATAATTGTGTGTGAGAAAAACCCACTCAACCTCTCCTTTCTGCTGGTAACTACCCCGCCGAGTGAGACAAAGACCACGGGTTTGGCCACCACACTTCCGTCATGTGTGCTTGCTTGCTTGATGAGTTTCGATAAATAATACTTCCAGGCTTGGAAGCTACTTAAACACGCAGACTACATATATATTTATATAACAATATACAATTGAATACAATATTTATGTATATATAAATAATGCAACCTTGTACTCAAATACACCGAGCGAAATTTGGCCATGTTAAGTGTTGCGGTTATCACAACGTCGACGTACTGTCAACACTTCTAACTACCCCACCTGGTATAACATCATGATTACATATATATATATATATATATATTATTATAAATGAAAGAAATATATATAATACCTGACGCTGTACTCGTTCACTGCCGGTGTGCAGCAAAGCCAGCAGGTCCGATAGCAGCTCAGTTTGCTGAGCTAGGTGGGAACGGCCCACAGCGCTGCCGCTCAAAGCCAGCAACTAAACACAGACACAAAGATGAATGATAGTTCACATATTATATGTTGCTGACGAACTGGATATATAGTTTTATACTTTTAGCCTTGTTACCTATGAGTTTAAATGCTTTTTTATATAGAAGATAGCTTAAATTCATCTCCTTAATATAGTTTTCTTTATTAAGGTCGGGTCAGGTTAATAAAGAAACGAACACTCTTTCCATATTACTATAGACATAAATATACTTCGCATGGTCGATTCCTCAAACTATGCAATTAATCATTGTATTCACAAATATGATTGTTAGTATTGGTCTGGGGTGTATATAATATTATTTTACTATGTACAGGTCTAAGCCAAGTACATAACTAAGTTATGTTTTTACGTCGTTGAGTATCCTCCTGATAAGTTTAGGGTAATTGGGTTATTGTTACCTTTCATAAGTGCCAAAGTCGGTTTGTATTTTCGGTCAATTTGAAATTCTGTATAATTAGATAATTTTTAGCTTATTATTATTATTATGTATATTCACTTACCATCGATAACATTTCGAAGCAATAATTATCCGGAGTATTTGTTTGGGGCCGCAGGACAGTATCGTCGGCGGTCCTCTCAGCTGCCTCGGCGCATAGCAATGCTGTCTCCCAGTCGTCACGGAAGTGGGTTGCCTCGCAACCAATTGCATAGACAATGTGTGACATCACCTAACAAGGTTTAATAAAAACATTATAATAATGATTTCGCCTTCCGTTTATCTGATTATTCGGGGATGCGTAGTATGTCAACCTCCAACCCTTATGCGTTCGTCATCTCCGTTTCATATTAAAAAGTTTCTTTCAATTATTGTCCCCACTCCTCAAAAATATGAAATCAGGTCCATGTAACAATACTAGTCGTTTATTCTATAGCAATATTCATCGTACTGTTCATTTTTAGTTAAAAAATATGTTGTACATAAAACATTGTATTTGTAGGTATATGTATAAATAAGAAACAATTTGTTACCCGTGACTTCGACTGCACGAACCTTCAAACCCTATTTAATTTTATGAAAGCTAAAGTTAATCTACGTCCTCTTGATACAATTGATCTTCATATCAAATTTCATTAAATTCCTAATTGTGAAAAGGTAACAACCAAACAGCCGGAGAGGCATTTATAGTATTAGTATATACCTATTATAGTAGTAATATATTAGTATATTTGATATCAACAAACAGTATACAAGTATGTCTAAATTATATACCACTTGAAATAAATATATATAAATAAAAAGAAATTAATTTACCACGTTACGTTGTATGTAAGTATATAATTTTGATGGAAATATTTATTGAGACATTTTCACACATACATATCGCCATAATATATATAAAAATTGGCATGACCACTCTAAATATTTTTAATTGTATAATAATATAATAAATATATTCTCACAGAAATTCTGAAAAAAACTTTACACATAAACACGTGTGCATTTGTACGTGCCATACATAGAAAAGAGCAAAAATACATGTGAACATATTTACCAACCTGTTGCTGTAAAGATGTAAATTTATGTCCGGAAAACAATATCCCGACGACATGTTCGCGTAGGTCGCTATCTTCAGTAGGGGCTGCTACCTCCCCGCCCACAGCGCCCTCAGTCATAGAATCACTGTCACTCTCATCCCAATCGAGCAGTTTACCGAATACCTTTAAAAACAATATATATATTAGAAAAATGTTCGCAATAATAATAGTAGATGTTAATGAAATTAATTATATAAAACATTAATTTCAATAAACATTGGTTTACTTAACAGCTGACCTGTGTGACATGTCTGTGTCTCAGAAGAAAGAGCTAATAAATATTTGGCCTTTTTGCAACATTTTTCATTTGGATATAGCCTTCCTCAATAAAAGGGGACTATGTTTCTTCAATTAAATTTTCCAACTCAAATCAGTAGTTCTGAGATTTGCACGTTTAACCAAACAAACACACTATCCGGCTCTACAATCATCATCATCATCGTTTCAGCTTTGAAGAGGACGCGGCTGATAAATGCCTGTCCCAAAAATCTCTACGACTTTCGGCCCTGTGCAGCTAGTTTACAATATTATATTTTATTTGAACCATATTTAAATAAATGTCTACCATGACACTCATTTACATTATTTTATTTTATGTTTAAATATATAAGTCATATAACTATTTATGTATTTTCGAACCGAGTGTGACAGGATTAGTGCTGTTAGCAATCCATTTCATTATAGTACTCGATCGAAAATAGCGTTATAGCGCCTCAAACACTACCGGAATATTCTTTTCGGTGAAGTAGAATATTTTAAAATGAAATATGTAATTTTTTCTTACACAAACGAGCTTCTGGCTCATTTAGTGGTATGTGACCACCGCCGTCCGAGAGCATTCGCAATATCGGGAGAATTGCAAATGCTTTGCCGACCTTTTAATAAGGAATAAACTCTTTTCTTGAAGGTTTCAATATCGCATCGGTTCGGTAATACCCCTGCTGGTAGGTGATTCTACAATATGTTTGTTCGTGGCAAAATGTTGGTTAAATATGTCGTTATAAGGCTTGAGTAATACATACCTGCGATGTTAGGAGTCTAAATACCCTTAGGGCATCACTCTCGCAAACGCCATGTATTACTTGCGGAGCAGTGTCTGCTAGTGAGTTGTTTGGATTGGGTACACTCAGTACACGAATTTGGCGTACGCGCACGGCAGGCTCGGGCCCGCGCAGTTCGCAGCGTACACGCAATGATGACGAACTCATTCCTGGCATTCATTTACAATCCATTAAAAACACACACAAATATATTAAACAGCAAATAATAATAATGTAACAAAAGACGTCATTCTTGAGAGATGCCCTATTATAAGAAAATTTATTTCGTCATCACCTCTATTATCCTTTTAAACGAACCACGCTTGGCTAAGACCCACGTGGTTTGAACGTATTAGGTACTCCCGTAAAAGGGAGATATATATAATATCCCTAGACACCCATCTAGACCATCCAGACTCCATCTAGACCCAAGCTAAGCAGAGCTTGTGTTATGAGTACTAGACAACTGATCTAAATACTTATTTTTTTCCTAAACCGATATATATAGTACCTACGTAGAAGACAGCCAGACTGATGCAAACAATCCTACACATGAATATAAATGCTTGCACAGTGCTATTAATTGGATCCGCGGTCATCGGAAGTAAAGCTGTGTAATAATAATAATAATAATCTCAGGACAATTCACACAGCGCCATCTAGACCCAAGTTAAGATAGCTAAAGCTTGTGTTATGGGTACTAGATAGCTGATACAAATACATAGATTTTTTTTTTAAATACATACATATTATATATAGAAAACACCCAGACCGATACAAACAATCTTACTCATGAATACAAATGTTTGTGCCGTGCGAGGAATCGAACCCGCGACCATCGGTCGTAAAGTGGTGTGCGGTGTGGTGTGTGTGGTTTAGTGGTCAAACCACCGAGGCCAACAAAAGCAATATTTTAAAGTTTTTTTTTAATTATATATTTTCTCCAAAATTCACGCGGCCAAAACATGTGCTGATAAATGAATAAATGACATACAAAACCACACAATTGTCTGTTGGTCTATGTAAAACTCTATTTGTAGAAATAATAGCTACAAGAATACCACATACTGTCTTTCCGGATGGAGTAGTCAAAGACATTGTCAACGTCATGGAGACCGTAGCCTTAACATAGATTTGATGTGGGTGTTTCTTTTCCCGGGTTTTCGTGTTAGCCTAATTTGAAGTCCCAACTGTAGTAAATCACTAGACCACACAATTGCTATCCCGCCATTTTACTTTTTTAGACGTGCTGCCTAGTATCAGGCGCCGCGGTCTGTTCGAAATTTGACAATAAAGAAAATAGAAAATAGCGCAGTTACGGAATGTAACATCACTACTTGCGTTTATTAACGCACGCATGTTTTATGAGCTTCTTCATATATCTAAAACCGGTGAAATTAGATCCACTTTTTAACTCTATTGAAAATATGTATACAAAAGTATAAGAATATATGTAGTTTAGAACTCACTTGGTAAAGTATAGTAGACCCAAGCCGCCGACTTTGAGTCCACTTCTGTGTCCTGCATGTGGAACATCTCAGCGGAACCACCCGCGTACAGGTAAGTTACTAATAATGTCTTGTTCTAAAATAATAAAATTAAATGTTAATCATACAGAAATATTACATAACAATATAGGTACAACAGAGGTAGGTAGGATATAAGAATTCGTCTACGTGATTCTCATAGCCTCGTTATTTCGTCCGCCAAGTAGCTTTGTAAGCTGTGACTTGGTTATAGGGTGAATTTTGCATTAGGCAGTGAAATTATTGTATCGGAGGCATGATACCTTAGTTGTCTGGAATGGAGAAGTATGAGTTAAATTGGGAGTGTACATGTACATTATAATGTAAAATCCTTAGTCCTATTAATGTAGGTGATGGTTTCCGCATACCATTTGGTGAGCCCTGGCCTGTTTACAATTCTAATTATAAAAAGCCTGTATACTTGATATTCATTATATTTCGCCCAATTTACATAATATCTTTTCAAATTATACCCTATGTGTTATTCTGGTATATAAGCTACATTATTCTTAAGTGCACAAAAATCTGTTCAGTAGTTACTACGTGAAAAAGCAACAAACATCCATAATAACAAACTTTTGCGTTTATAATATTCGTAAGTTATTAAGAAGAATTTACATTATATAATACTAAATTGTAACAGATGTAGAGTTTGTACAAAATTGTGCATCTATATCATTCAGTTCAACTATATAGTATATATAATCATAATTCTGTTTCGGTTGAAGAGTGAAGGAGTTGTAATAAGGTACATACATATGTTTAAACTCTCTCGAAGTGCCAACGCATGAGGGGTAGGGTAGTGATCACATAATAATATCTATTAATTAATCAATCAATTATTAATAAATCACATTATCGCCACTTTCCCCTTACAGCCAGATGGACATTTACCTTACCTTACCATACCTTATTTTTATTATAAAAAAATAAAGGACTCACCACAGTGTCTCTGGTATTATCAATGTGCACCGCGATAATATGTGGCTGATCTTCAGGTGTACCGCCGGCGTAAGTAATCTGGATCCACTTCGCCTTGTTCCGATCTTCGTCACCAGATTCCCAGAAGGTTTCGGTGCTGCCGTCGGTAAGAGCACCCGCCATACCTTGTCGCGATGACACCGTGATGTCACACCATCCAGTCACGTCCACGCAGTTCCAGACGAAGTTTTCCTAGTAATATTATCATTATAGTTATTAAAACAAACTATTATTATGGTAACTCTAATATTTTTATTGCATAAGTAGGGAGAGGAGGGAGGAAATTATTATAAATATGTAAAAATCGCCATTGGTAATATTAACTGAGTACTAATGACTTTTTGACGTTTGTGTATTCTTTGTTTTCATTAGTAGTGTGCTTCTTAGTTTAAATTTATTTAAATTAATGTATTATTTCATATATGTAATAATCATCTGCTAAATAAAGTGTTCGATCCTGCAAGTAATAGATAATTAGTAATAGAAACTGCTCAAAATATGTGTAATATAAATATTTAAGATCCATAATTTAGCGCAATATGATATTAAGCGAATCAGTAAATAAAGTGCATTGAAAAATAGAAAAAAAGCATTCCGCCACATTTAAGTTTTTTAAGTACATTAGATGTAATATTCAATCACGTATATATATCTAAAATCTAAGCACTTTATTAAAAAAATAAATAAATAGTACTTAAGTAAAAATATTAAAAAGAGGTAGATTGTAAGAGAGAGAATAATCTCTGTTTCTACTAAAACTATATTGTAAATTCTTATACGAATAGAAAGCCACCATTTGTGAGTGTCATAGGCTATATAACATATGTAAGTGTCATAGGCTGTTCATATATGTGTATATAACATCATACTACGACCAATACGAGTGGACTTGGAATTATAAATGTTGCAAAAACGGGGAAAATGTGACGCTGACAAAGTTGCGCGACTCGACTAGCAAATAATAATATAATACAATAAAAAACATATCATATATAGTGAATTATTTAGCCTGGATTAGAACTAGGTAAATGATATACCTTGAAGTGACAAGTGTCGTAGTTCTCTCGTAAGGCGAGGATCATCTGCTCATCGTGCATATCCTCTTCAGTGTGCGATAATATTCTGCTTATCATACTGAAAACTTGTGATCTAATCCAGGCAGCATTAACAGTTGTAATCAATTTAGTACAATACAATTAAAATCATACTTAGTTTTGCTTTTTCTATTTTCTCAAGTTCGAGAAAAGATTTCAATTCAATTCATTAAAAAAGAAATACAATATGAAATGTTAATTGCAAAACAACATATTAAAATTGATTATCGATTTGGAAAATAATAAAGTATGCTACAAACCTGTGCAAGAATGCGCGGTCATGGGCCGAGAAGTTCAGTGCCCAGCATCTGATCGCCTGCAGGATTGATGAATTAGCCGGTGGTAGGGAGGGCGCCAGAGCGCTCACTGAGCCCAAGAATGCGTGGAAGGCAGCTCGTACACCTCGAGCAGAACGCCCACCAGGACATATGGATAGACACATCGCCGAAGCAGATGCTGTTGGATACAAGTTCCGGGTTGGATCCGACAAGTGCTAAAAAATAGAAATACTTGACATATTGTAACATAAACATACGACTTTTCAATAGTAATTTAGTAATTAAATGGCGTTATACGTATAGGTGAAGTAGCAGTGGACGACTTCCGGGCTGAAATGATGGTGATGTTATTAATCTACACTATTTTAACTTAATTTTTTATAAAAATAATTTACTTAGAGAAATTCTGTAAGATAACGCTGTGTTAGGTAATTGGCCTGGATTAAAAAACCTTACTATAATTGCCGTCGTCAGTGCCGTGACCATATTATTTTATTACCAACTTAAATTTATATTTTATTATTATTTCTTGTGTATGTTAGATAATGTTAGAGGGAAATATGGGCCATATCGCCTGAATAAAATAAAATAATGTAGTATCTTATACAAAATTTATGGCCATTTTTACCTCTTTAGCAAAAGCAAGTAACGCGAGTGGTGGCGGCACAATCGACGCGTATTTGTCCAATGCGGTGCAGAACCACCACATCACGTCATGCACGCACGACGGGTGGGATCCAGTACGCAGCAGCCATGTTAGTGCCTGAAATTAATAATTTATATATTTTTCTACTCGAAAAGCAACAAAATCGTTAAGATAAGATATTAGGTGCAATAAAAATGAAGCTATTATTTTAAACGTTAATTTTTATATAAATAAATTTCTGTTAAAATAATGTTCAAATCGTAGTATTACGTAGTTATATATTATTTTCTATTTTGTTTAATTTTTATTATATAGACTCCTCCATTGTATATTAAAAGCGTCTATATAATTTAGCTTTTAAGCATACATAGTGTTGGATTAAAATCTAGTTTTGTACCAAACTATACGCAAATCCTAATTAACTTCTTGTATTAATTGTAATCTATTTTGTTTGCTAATAAATAAATCAATAAAAGTTGGAATATTTTTTAATAAAGCTACGAGATGATGGGGTAGTCAGAAACATTGCCAAAAGTAAATGAAATCTTCAAAAATTATTAAACGCTCTATAAATCCATTGGGTCATAGTATTTGATAACTAACCTTTCTGCCGTTTCGTAAATTTAAAATATATTAACCTATCAAGGAGTTCGCTACAATTACAATATGTTACATTGTTTACACAACATAATATAATTAGCCTATCTCAGACACCAGCTCCTCACAGCAAATCGATTAAAATAATAAATTTAAGTATTTTACTATAAAAAATACTACATGTATTGTTGTCATTATGTTTGTGAGGAGAAATAAATAAATCATATAATATGATTTATATATATTATTATAATTACGATTAATTTATTACCACATATAATTAATGGTTTTAAAAAATAGTACGCAAAACTCACCTCAAAAGCATATTCGCGGATAGTATTGATCCTTATGGCAGCATCCATCTTCTGCCTGTAAGCATGCAGATCACGTCGCGTCTGTACAAACGTGAGGACTGGACTTTTCATCAAAGCTGCACTGTCCACGCGGGAAGGCTCGAAAGCAGAGACCGCGTTATTCTCCTTAGATGCACCACCACCCACCAGGCGGAGTAATGCTGAGCTCGGTTGCGCCAACAAAGATGAACCGACGCCTGAAATCCATTCACTCATTTAATTAAAATCACCCCGGATCTTGGAGGAGGCACTTGGGGGGTCATGCCCCGGGGGGCAAGTTCTGCGGACGGCAAATACAAACTTAGCAGATGAATTTGAAATTGAAGAGTTCGTTAACGATAATAATGTTTTTGTGCAAAAACTTAAAATCCATAACGCTGATAATATTATCTGATTTCACTAAGAATGAACGCGTAGAGTTGTCTATGTTGATTATCGCATGCCTCTAACTTGTTACTGTGTAATTATTTATTTAAAAAAATAATCTATTTCAAAGAACAGCAGACAAGTTTCTTGATCATATTTCTAGAGATGAATCTGCATTCCGAATGAGTGGTAGAATAAAAAATATGATATTGAGTTTATTTGAATAAAGGATTTTCTATCCTATCAATAACGCCTCTTTGACAACAGACCACTGCGACGTCAAGTAAATTGTTGTGTCCAATGTATTTGAAAATACCATATAATTAACAACACTATTAATTGAGCACATTGTATGTTAATATGTTCTAAAAATGTTGGCCGGAGAGAGGGGAATCCCAGGGGGCAGCATTTTTTAATTTTTGCAGTGCAACCAAAGATATCAACATTTCAAAGTTATTATTTTATAATATTGGTAAGAACATAAATCAAATTTTTGGCTGTGAATAATCAATTCAAAAATCAAAAATTATTCATGTAGGACATTTTGGCCGCTTATGAACGTCAATTTTTTGTATCAATTTTTATATTTTTCTGCCTACGTATACGAGCGTCATTAAATTAACTAAAAAAACTTTAAAGTATAATGATCTTAGCAAATACAACAGTAAATAATAATGACTGTTGATAATAATGAAGAATAATATAAGTATAGTTGTACTTGAAAGAGTATCCTGTGCAGCAGTATGAGCAGGTGTCACGAGGGGAGGTTTCCCTGCAGCATTGGCGAGGTCTCGGCCTTTCTCCTGGCCCATTGACACTGAGCGGTGGACGCGAATGTTGTTCACGGCTGGTAGTTCCCCACCACCAATTGGGTTGGACTGCGTAACACAAAGAAATTAGTAATTACATCTAAAATAATATAAATAATAGACTTTTATAGTTTATCTTACTAATATAATAAACGCGAAAGTTTGTGAGTATGGATAGATGCATTTTCTACTCATATAATTAATCACTGTATGTTTGTTATTCTATCACGCAAAGACTACTGAACGGATTTTGTTGGAATTTTACAGTAATATATATATAATTTAAAAAGATCCTATATTAAATTGGGTGAAATATAATAAAATAAATAATAAATGTCAAGTAAGTGTAATGCAGACGAAATTGCGCAGATCCAGCTCTCAAATCACATAGGGAATGCTCAAGTGACGAATCCGTCCATAACTTTATGTTTGAACGTTATTAATGTTATATTCACAAAGATTAAATGTTTACAGTGTGTCTAATGCATGGTACACTGTGTAATATTTTTTGTTAATACTATTGAATTTTTATTTTCTGTACCGTGCCAGGAATCGAACCTGCTATCATCTGTGTACTAAACCGCTAGACCACGGATATCAAATAATAATTTTAATACACAATTTTTTTATAAATACATACATACTACCATATAGATAAAAAAATACCCAGACGGATACAAAACAATCATGCTCTTGAATACAAATATTTGTACCGTGCTAGGAATCGAACCCGCAACCATCTGAAATAAAACGTTGTACTAAACCACTAGACCACCGGGGCCGTCATATATATATATATATATATATATTTTAATTTTATACTTACGCGTGAAGTAGGAGGTGGTGGCCGACCTAGCGAGTAATATTTAGTGATGTTGTCCATAGTGATCACTGGTTTCGGGGCCGCCCCCAGTGCTCGCAGGCACTGGAATTGCGGGGCCGGTTTCCAAATGCTACGGCGTGAGTGCCGTGGGCCACGGTCCATTGCTTCCTCCCATGGGAACATGCTAATCGGCTCTAATGACGAAAAGTTACATGTTATTTGGATTTCATAAGGATCAGATCGCACTTAACATCCCTGGTATTTCATATGTTAAAAGGCTAGTCTAGCCGTAGTATTGTGATATAAAAAAAAGATTAACTTGATATGATGTAATGTGATTCCTTTGCAGTTAGTATAAATATGTATGCCTGAGCCCGTCACTTCATACAGATATAGCTTTTTTAATATAAAGTTACTAAAAGAAAAAGAACGTTAATTTTATATGAAGTTTTCTACTGAAACATATTCGTTGAACTGTTTCTAATATTAGAGCGTACAAAGGCACAGATAAATAAAGAAAATTTGTAAAAATCATTCTCATGTTTAAATACTTCGGTATCAATTTCTTTCTTACATACACAAAACTACCACATACTGTACAGGATAAGGGAAGCGTATTGAAATCGTATTTTAATACTGGGATGAGATTGTTAGTAATGTACTATGTCATGTTGACCTACACGTCGTCCCCAGGAAACAATCGTGAGAAATTCATGTTAAATGCACCACAATGGGCTACTGACCTGACCTCATACTCATCTTATTATCCCCCACTGGTGCCCCGCCAGCGTAGACCGTTAGCGCAGCTGAGTGCACCATTTCATTCTCATCCATATGAAAATTAATACTAATTATAGGTACGGGACCATCATTAAAGTAAATTCTCACTTAATGTGAATCTGACTGACCTGCTTGCGCAAGTGGCGCCAAATCAAGAAGGAACAGAGCATTGTCCTTCATAACGTTATGGTCAACCTCAGGTGTAGGAGCAGGGCGTTCATTCCCTGGTTCGGTGACGACTTTCCTCTTCAATTGTTTTATGGATGAAGCAGCCTTCAGTGACTTATCACGGCACTTGTCGCAGTAAATGTACCATAACTCATATCCTGGCAAATAAACAGTAAAATGTCAATACATACTAATATTATAAATGCTGAACTGTATTTGCGAATACACAAGTTTGTTACCTTTTCACGATAAAAAAGCCAGACTGATCGTAATGATGATAATAATAAATTTTATATTTTATTGATAATAAATTTTATGTGACAACAAATTATATAAAGGTCGCGGAAAGGCTATCACTTGTACAAAAAAATAAAGGCACAGGTAACACCTCGTGGTATTATAAATGTAATCTTGAAAATAATAGATATAATTGAAATATTTTATAATTTTTATTTTTAATTAAATAAAAAACGATAAGATTCATTTATTAAATAGGAACTCATATTAAATAGCGCGAAGTACTTAAAAATACAATTAAAATAAAAGTAACTTGGAGGAAAGAAACATAAGGTAGAGTTGTTACCTTTCGCGAGTTGTCCACAAACGGACATCGGGAAATCAACGTGCGCGAGCACCGGATCGATAGGACGATGAGTCCCAGATCGGTCGTATCCGTACAAGGTGGGATGCTTGCACCCGGGATGAGTTTGACGCAAGTGAGCCGCTATTGGTGGAGCTACACTGGCCCCGCCACACAATTCGCATACCACTGAAACAACATTACATATACGTTACAAGCGACTGTACAACTATCAAAATATATGATTTTCTATTAATATTAATTGATAAGAAAGCCTATATTAAGTATACGAGATCGCAATTGTAGTTATACGTACACGCAGCGCCAGGTCTTCCTTCGCTAGTTCGCATCGCTTTCTTATATTATTAATATTCGTGTTCAGGCAATGTGTTAAACGCTAAATATTCAGTTAATTTGCAGTAGTAGCAGAGAACAAACCTGAGTAGGGTGTCTTGGAATTTGGTTTGCTGTCGCGTTTGTTGCGAATACCACTCAATGGTTTATCTTCATTTTCGTTCTTCTCTGATTCTTCATTTTTGTTTCTATAAAATAAACAAGTTATACAGAACAAATAATAAATGGGAGCAAACATTAATAAATTGGATACATTTTCAATTCCGCCAAAAATACACATTCGCATCAGTACAAACGTAAATAAAATAATACAGCCAGCTTCATAAAGATTATTTTACTTCTTAAATGGAAAGTTAACAAATTTATATATTATGTATTAATATATATATTTTATATCAATATAAAATAATTAATCACATAATACACAAGTTTGTAACCATAACTTCATTTGGATTATTTTATTTTTCCGAACAGAAGTTATTAGTATAAATACATTGAGTACATAGAAATAATTATAGTCTTTTTGTCCAGTCGCTATGATCACAATGAAGCTGCCTGCATCATTATCGCACACAACAAAATATAATTATTCGCATATATAAATAAATATATACATAAAAATAATAACCCGGGATACTTCACACCGCGCCATTTAGTCCAAAACTAAGAGGAACTTGCACTATAGGTATTAAATAACTGATATAAATACTTATATACATTTTTTTTGTAAATATATACATATAATACACAAGAAACATACGAACAAACAATACAAACAAACTTAATAATGAAAGAAATATATATATACAAATATAAATAGTCTAGCGTTTTAACCCTGGTAATAAATAAAATTTGTACCCGAGGGCTGAAACGCTAGGCTGTGCTAAATTGTATTGAATACACAAAATGCTTAATTGAATTCCATGTACAATAGAATTTAACATCCGACTGTCTAAGAATAATATACCTAGACTGCTATCCCAGACCGGGTGACTAAGAATCTCTGGTGAATTTAACACGTGTCTCTATCTTCGGAGAATCGTCGTCTCTAGTTATCGAGTTAATAATCTCTATTTTAAGCCGGTGAAGAACCATAATTCCACTGCACTATTAACATTCTTTTTATTTAAGATTATGGTCACTATACGCCCGTTTGTACGCTATAATAAAGAGAAAACGGTATTTACTTATTTAAATTTCACAACTTACTTATCTGAGACAAACGTGAACTCCTCTGCATCGTTCATGGCGTCCCAGAGAGCAACTAGAGCGCGAAGCGCTGGTGGCAGCACATTCACAACTGAACTGCCTGCACCTGCTAAATTATATTTATTTATTTACATCACTAAATGTTTCAGGGATGCACAGGCTACGTTATGCATTTACCATCAGATGGGCGTATGGTTTTTCTTTCCAATATTATGGTATAAAAAAAATCAAATAATGCCTTTGTACAACATTGTCCGCATGGTCTCACTTATTTCAGCCACAAAGCAAGTATCTTTCGGTTTGAACGGAGTATTTACAGAGACACGGCTCCTTACTCAATCGGAATGGCAATTATAAATACTATGATATATCATCACATAACGGAGTAATGACTTTAGTATTTTTAAATGATATCCTATAAGCCATGATTGTCCCTCACTAGAGACGTTGTATCCCATTATAATTAAAAAAAACTCTTCTCAGTAGAAATCATCTGAGTCAGAACTGTGGGTACTAGGGCAGTGAAAGGAATACTCAAATACTCAATACATACATAACATACATTGATATCACTGAAATCAATACCAACAAACATCACTATAATAATGCATACAGTGTTAGTGAACTGAAGGTTATCCATAGTCTACCATCAGTTTACTTAATACTATATAGTTTGGTTTAAGATGAAGCCTGTGACAAGGCAATGGCAATACAGGGTAGAGCACGAGATCTTAGTCTTCAGGAATGGCAACATATGGTAACAGGAGCGTCACACGATAATGTGATGTCGTGATTAATTAAGGATATCCATCGATGCCGATTGCCTCTCAGTTAGGACGTCATGCGTCAGCTTGTTTGCCATATACATTATGTTTTGCCATACGTACTAGACCGTGGTCGGTCAATATTTAAGGAAATATAACACAGTAGTTTCTTCGAGTCATTCGATCATCATTATAACAATCAATTAGTCTCCAGGTACAGGCCTCTATTTATAAAACTAATCGGCTATTACTTACTTAGTATAGGGTATAAATTCAATTTTCTGTCTTTAAACCCTATGTATTTGTACTTCCTTTTTGTCGCCGCATCTTATATCAATGTACATATATCATATACATGTAGCAATTAACCATGTCTCCACTCTGATACCACTCCATCATCGTGATAAATTCCTAGTCTGTTTGCCATGAAGTGCTAACTGATCACACCTCATGCTTATTTTCCACTAGTGCCCCGCTAGCTACCATCAGCGCAGGCGGGTCCATCATTTCATTATCATCCATTAAATACATATACATAAATAGTTAGACCGATACATCATTGGTATGAAGACGTGGTTACTACGAGTATATCAAAAAAAGGTTCTGTAACTCAGTTACACAGGGGGGAAAGGAGATTGTTATTAATGTGGACTGATGATCCTATTGCTAGCGATGTATCATGTCAAGTTGACCTCCACGCGGTTTCCCCTAGAAACTATCGTGATAAATTCTTGGTGAATTTGTCACAATGGACATTTGTCTCATGCTCATCTTATCCTTCACTGGTGCCCCGCTGACATAAACTGTTAGTGTAGGCGGGTGCACCATTCCATTATCTGAAATTAAATAACAGAAAGAGAAACCAACTGCTAGTGCTGGGCTGAGGCTCATCTGCATCATCTTCGCTTATAGTCGTATCCATATCCGACTTGCGGGAGCGGCTGGCGCACGCTTCTATGCCCGCACGTGTTAGCGTCTCAAGAGCCTCATCGTTTAGGCGCAGGTATTGTCCTGAGAATAGAATAGAAAATCATTTATTCAAATAAACTTACATTGAAGCACTTTTGAATAGTCATTACATTTTTTTTTAATCTACCGCTCGTTCGGAAAGCTGTCTCATCACAAGAAGAACGAGCAAGAAACTTGCGTGTTGCTCTTTTAAATAATTTGATTATTACTTTACATTTTTAAGTTTAAGTGTGTGAATACAAACCATCAATTAGCACTAATTCTATTAAATACTCAAAGAGAACAAAAACAACAACGATAAGAAACTTGAACAAAATCAGAAAGATCTATTTCCAAGCTAAGCATTGCTCGTGTAATGAGTACTGGACAATTGATACCAAAATTTTAATACTTTTGTACAATATACATACATCTAGACCAATAATCATAATCATAAAGGCAAATATATATGCAAGAAATAAAAATCACGAACTTCAGAATCAAGGCCGCGAGATAAACTGCCTTAGCTGATAGATTGCTGTGGTTGTCAACAAATAGACGACTAGTATATAATAAAAAAAAAGGTAAAGAAGTATTTAAAATGAAAAGGAAAATAAATTAAGAAAGGCATATATTATATATACGTTAAATAGCAATTGTCTAATAATAAGTAAGTGTAGTTCTGTATATGACTTGTTATTAGCGATAGCTGTATAATTTAATTAAAAAATATAATATCTATAGTCAGATCACGTCAGGCTGTCGTCTAGTACCCATAACACAAGTTCTACTTAGCTTGGGACTAGATGGCGCTGTGTGGATTGTCCAGACTATTATGAATTATATATCATAACCATGTTTAAACTTTCAAAAGCCCGAACTTACCAGCGTTGGTAACTTCGACGGAGTGTCGCTGCAGACGTGCCGAGATTCCTTCCATACCACGTGTGACCACGCGGGTTCCTTGTTTTGGCAGTTGCGGGTGGAACTTAAGGTAAGCAGCGCAAGCGATCGCGTCGTGCACCACCCCTACAATGTTTCAATTATTACTTCAAATATTTATATTAATTCTTTTATTCTTAACTTCTAACTAGGTTCTCGCACCGGCTTCGGCTTCGTACGGGTATTATTATATATATATATATATATATATATATATATAAACTCTTCGTCTTGAATCACTCTATCCATTAAAAAACCGCTTCAAAATCCGTTGCATAGTTTAAAAGACATAAGCATACCTAGGGACAGACAGCGACAGCGACTGTGTATTATACTATGTAATAATAATGATGATGATAGAGCGAAAAAGGACGAATTAAACAAGGAGAATCAGAAATATTTATTATGATTGTACATTGTTAAAAAAATGAACGTGTAATTAGGGTTTAAAATGAGATTTATCTAATATATAATAATATATAAATAGATCTTTCATACAAACCTTCATGCCACAATAAAGCTGAAAATATGGCACGAAGACATTCCGCCTGGGCCGGACTTTGGGCGAGCTGAAGAGGCGCAGACGGCAAAATCGGAATCCCGGCCATCGACGACGATGGTGTAGAACTTCTGGACGACCCTGATCGAATGGTCACCCGCTGGCCATGCTTGTTTCTAGACCCTCGGCGACCATGCTGTATGTAAAACAAATATGTTAAACTACTGCTTCTTTTCAGCACATCCTGCTTTTTAACACGCAGTAACATAATTTTAATTGTATATCTTTGTTGTTTTTAATAGTAAATAAATTAAATTCTAAAGTAAATATATAAATAAATTATATTTATAAATACAATACATATTTATATATACATATAAAATAGCCAGAACGATAGAAACTATACTAATGAATACAAATGTATGTACCGGGCGAGGAATCGAACACAGCAGGGCTTGTGTTATGGGTACTAAACTACTGAAGTAAATACATATGCTATATACATTATGTGTAAATACATATATAATATACATAGAAAACAGCCAGATCGACATAAAAAATACTAAAAAAGTAAAATTGTTTGTACCGGGCGAGGAATCGAACACAGCAGGGCTTGTGTTATGGGTACTATACTACTGAAGTAAATACATAGATACATTATTTATAAATACATACATAATATACATAGAAAACAGGCAGTCCGATACAAACAATACTAATGAATAAAAATTTATGTACCGTGCGAGGAATCGAACCCAGCAGGGCTTGTGTTATGGGTACTATACTACTGACGTAAATACATAGATACATTATGTGTAAATACATGTATAATATATATATAAACAGCAGGACCGATACAAATAATACTAATGACTAAAATGACTAATGAGTACATATTTTTGTACCATGCAAGGAATCGAACCCTGCAGATGTTGTTTTATACGTACTAAACTACTGAAGTAAATACATATGATAGATACATTATGTGTAAATACATATATAATATACATATAAAACAGCCAGATCGACATAAAAAATACTAAAAAAGTAAAAATGTTTGTACCGGGCGAGGAATCGACTCCAGCTAAGCTTGTTATATACGTATTAAACTACTGAAGTAAATACATAGATACAGTATTTTTAAATACAAATATTATATACATAGAAAACAGGCAAACCGATAGAAACAATACTAAAGAGTAAAACTGTTTGTACCATGCGAGGAATCGAACCCAGCAGAACTGGTGTTATAGGTACTAAACTACTGAAGTAAATACATATGCTATATACATTATGTGTAAATAGATACATAATATACATAGAAAACAGCCAGACCGATACAAACAATACTAATGAATAAAAATTATGTACCGTGCAAGGAATCGAACCCAGCAGATCTTGTTTTATACGTATTAAACTACTGAAGTAAATACATATATACATTATGTGTAAATACATGTATAAAACATATACATAGAAAACAGGCAGGCCGATACAAACAATAATAAAAGTAAAAATGTTTGTACCGGGCGAGGAATCGAACCCAGCAGAACTGGTGTTATGGATACTAAACTACTGAAGTAAATACATATGATAGATACATTATGTGTAAATATATGTATAATATATATATAAACAGTAGGACCGATACTAACAATACTAATGTGTACAAATGTTAGTACTGTGCGAGGAATCGAACCCGCAGAGCTTGTGTTATACCTACTAAATTATTGGAGTAAATACATATATACATTATGTGTAAATACATGTATAATATATATATATAAACAGCAGGACCGATATAAATAACACTAAAGAGTAAAAATGTTTGTACCGTGCGAGGAATCGAACCCAACAGAATTGGCGTTATGGGTACTAAACTACTAAAGTAGATACATATATTCTATACATTATGTCTAAATACATGCATAATATACATAGAAAACAGCCAGACCGATATAAACAATACTAAAGAGTAAAAATGTTTGTAGCGGGCATCGAACCCAGCTAACTCCCACTGGAACCGTTATGGGTACTAAACTACTGAAGTAAATAAAAAGATACATTATTTGTAAATACATATATAATAATATTATATATAGAAAACAACCAGATCGTTTCAAACAATACTCATGAATACAAATGTTTGTGTGCAAGGAATCGAACCCGCGACCATCGGAAGTACGGCGCCATGTTAAACTACCAGACCACCGAGGATGTTATACATATTATATACTTAATCACAGACAACTCACCATTTCCTAGCTACATATTTATCTATAACAACTACCTGTTTCCTAGGGGATGATTCCAAGTGTTTCCTGAGCCATTTACTTAAAACAATATTTCTCAGCTAATGGTTACCTTATTAAATAAACGAGTATAATATAATTTTATATTAAATAAAGACTAATTCTGAGAACTTGATACCACTGATAAAGCCATATGTTCGTTGGAACCAGGGTGACTCGATCTCTATTCTTTCTAAGAATTGTATGTGCAATTAATAAATTAATTTAAGACAAAGTACTCCTTCTTTACGAACTGAGACACTTCCAATAATGACAATGTAAGTATCGCCTAACCTTTACGTTATTATAAAAAGTTGACGCAATATGTTGTCCTCTATTCATCCTTATCTATTATAATAATTAAAATAATCCTGAACAATTCACACGGCGCAAACTAGACTCAAGTTAAGTAGACCTTGTATTTTGGGTACTAGATTACTGACAATTTTACTTAAATATTTTTGTTTAAATACATACACAGTATACATAGACATGCCTACCCATACCGACACAATCATACTCATGAATAGAAAAATTTGTAATCAAATCCGCGACCATCAGCAATAAAACAGTGTGCTAAACCGCTAGACCACCACACCGAGACTGTCATGTTATTTATCTTAATAACATTACAAATACGAAAACTTGTAAGTATGGATGTTTGTTACTCTTTCACGCAAAAACTACTGGACGGATTTTGATGAAACTGTACAATAATATAGCTTACGCATCAGAATAACACAGGCTATATTTTTTATTAAAATTTATGTATTGAAATTTTACGCGGGTGAAACCGCGGGCACAGCTAGTATTATATAATTCATTACATACAGCGCACCATTTCCTAGCTACATATATGTAGCTTCGTATACGAAGTAGAATTTATATAAATCCATACCTTCGAGTACCTCTGTTCTACCAATTACCGTCAAGCAGCTTGATTCGTTAGATGTGTTTCGGTCAAAGAATGATTTATCGGACTGATATGACGTAGTATATAAAAAACAACCAGGACACGAAGACGATATGTACCAGGACTATGATGTTTGTGGTAGTTTTCGGTTATATAGATGACAGTTACCACTTGCCATCAAGAAGGCCGACAATTTGTATGCAATTCATGCTGCAGTTACCAGAGGTACAGTTTAAAAAGTCGTCTGTGTAAGGCATCTGACTGTCCTCTTTCAACAGGCAAGCTTTCTTCAATGCTGTGTTTCGTTTGTAGAGTCCAGATTAGGTTAAGAAACATGACTCTTAGTTCTCAGGAATGGAAACGCATGAGTGGGTGTCACATAATAATATGATGTTTATTATGCTTTCATACATACAGACGACGGTTACCGTTTACCATCACGTGGGTTCATTATCTCCCATTGCAGTTGACAGGTTCGGTGGTGTAGTGATTTATCACATAGCTTTACTGCCGATGGTTGAGGGATCGATTCCTCACATGGTACAAATATTCATAAGTATGATTGTTTCTATCGGTTGGGTTTTTTTTATGTATTGACAAAAAAAATTAAGCTCCGTTTAGCTTTTAGCTTGAGACTATTTTTTTTTATTAATGGTCGCAGGCTATTGTGAGGTGCAACAACCTATAGCACTGCAACCTGTATAGATCTATTGTGCTCCCCATTTTTCTAAGTTACCTACCTAGATCCGTCCGGAACAAGAAATGAAGGATATTGTTAGGAGCAATGGATCTCCTCAAGATACGAGTGTATACTCTCTAAAGGAGATATTTCGTTTACATTTACGTTTCGGATACAACCACATAGGATGTGTAGTTTCCTCTTCAAATTGGTATGCTGATTTTTTTTAACACAGCCTAAGTTTGCCATGTGTTGTTTTTCAATGTGCATGTAGCTTGGGACTAGATGGCGCTGTTTTAATTGTCAAAGATTTAAATTAAATATAAAATCTGAAGATTTTTGTTGAGCACAGGTATAAGTTTGCCATGTATTTATTCAATTTGCAGTGTAACTTGATACTAGATGGTGCTGTTTTAATTGTCAAGGGTTTGAATAAAAGAAAAGATAATAAAAAAACAATTTTCAGATCAACAAACTTACCCTCCTGCGATACACGGTCATAGTAGTTACGGTAATATCCCCACCGTGTTCGGGCGATGTTTGCGTGTACGCCTGCGCGAGTCTCCTACCATTGCGGGCGTGTATGATCTGACACGACCCATGCGAGTTCGACGCAACCTCCGATGGTGAAGCCTCTGCGCGATATTCATGACGGGAACCCGATGCAGACGGCTCTTCTGAGTCTGACCTCATTGGTCTATCCTGAATATCAGCGTCGATGTCGGTCTAGTAGTAAAAAAGGGGTAAGTTAATAAAAAATGATTTAATATGTACAATATTCAAAGTCAAAATCAAAATAATTTATTCTTATAGTGCCACTTATGCAAGTATTTGCACTAGTTTCATCGGTTCAGAAGAATTTGCCAGGAACAAAAACTTAGTTTTTTTAGAATATGTGTATGTCTTAAGATATTTAATACTAGCTGTTATCAAGAACTAAATCCGCTTGATTTTTTTCTAATTAAATTAAATTAATTTTCTGAAATAAAAGTACCATACGTTACTATTAAGGTTAGCTGTCTGCAAGTGAACTTATAACGTTAGCTATGTCTCAGTGAAAGTCCCGTCAAAATCGTTCCCGCCGTTTCAGAGATAAGATAGAACAAACACACAACATATATTTTTAATTATGTTTTATCAGTGTTGTATATACTTTTATATACATTTATTGAAACTCTCGTGGCTGGCAACTAACGCCATACATGGTCACTTATTACATATAACCATTTACTATTTCTTAAAAAAAATTATAGGTAGATCCAATTGGTTCGGTATTTTATTATATAATAAAACTTAATGCCAATGCATAATAATTTCTGTAATGATTAATGACAGCTAAAGGACGCAGATGCAGGGGGAGTTCTAGGCTGACGATAATCGTGATGTGCAGGTTAATCTATGTACACGGTGAATATGATCACACACACGATCATATTCACGCCGTTCCTGACACGTAACTTCCTGGTCTAAAGCGAACAGGGACCTAATTACGATGATACATGACGTAACAGATGTAAGGATGCACTTGGTTACCTACAAACTATGTATATGATACGATAACATCTCATCGTATCTATCCTTACTAATATTATAAAAGCGAAAGTAACTCTGTCTGTCTCGCTTTCACGCCAAAACTACTGAACCGGAAAAATAGAAAGGTCATAAGGTGTTTATTAATTTTATTTATTTAAGCTTTGCATTCCATAATTTTACAGTAAATAGATAGACAGGTACATTTCAAAGTAGGTTAATTATGGACCCTGTTGGGCACAGCAAGCGGAAGAGAGGAGAGGAGGACGAATAATTTTTTTTTTTATAATATATAATAATAATAAAAAAATAGTAATAATAATTAATAATTTGAGATTGTATATATTTAATTACTAAAATTGTATAATATTTAATTCAATATGTCATTTTTATATTCTAAAATTGTATAATAACATTTTTTAATCAATAATGTCTTGAGATTTCTTATAAATATTTTATCATTTTTTATCTCTTTTAAAGAAAGTGGTAGGTGATTATATATGTTTATGGATGACACCAGAGGACCACTTGAATGTAGTGCTAACGTGGAGGATGGAAGAAGGAGCCTGTTTCTGTGTCGTAAATTATATTTTTCACACCTTTCTTCGCGTGTTTTATAGAAATTGGGGTATTTTCGGACGAATTTACTGGTTTCTAAAATATAAATGCAAGTCAAAGTAAGAATATTATGTTTTTGGAAATATGGTTTACAGCTTTTACGATTGTCAATATTTACCAGTATTCTAATTAGTTTCTTTTGTAAGGTAAAGAGAGTAGGTGCGTCGGTACTGTTTCCCCACATTATTATCCCATAACTCAACCATGCGTACGCATATGCATAGTAAGTGGTGAGAGCGGTTTGCAAGTTAGTGGTTTTTTTAACTTCCCGAAATGCATATACAAACCTAGACACTTTACTTTTTATTTTCTTGATATGCGATTTCCAATTTATTTGTGAGTCAATGGATATACCGAGGAGCGTGAATTCATTGACCACTTCCAATTGCATTCCGTTATACACGAAGTCAACGTCAAGTGGTCTTCTTTGACGTGGGTGGAAGGTCATTAATTTAGTTTTATTATAGTTAATATCTAAGTTATGGTCGCGCATCCAATTAGACGTTCTATCAAGAATCGAATTAAGTTGGGCATCTAAGTCTGTACCACTTTGGCACGATGTAAGCTGAGAGACATCATCCGCGAAAAGAACACAGGGCTCTTGTACAATTTTAGGGAGATCGTTTATGTAAATTAAAAACAATATACAGCCGATAACACTTCCTTGAGGAATTGATGCGTTTACCATTTTATTATCCGATCTTATCATTTCAATCATATTCTTACTATTATTGAAGTATTCGATTTCAACTATTTGTTCTCTGTTTTTCAAGTAGGATGCAAACCATGAAAATGTTGAAAGAGTTATGTATGGAAGTGTCGTCATTTTTGTAGATGAAACGATGAAACTTTTTCATTTTTCTTTTATTGGGTTAGGTCATTAAATATTTTTTTCATTATTTGGTCAAGGTCACTATTTTCGAGGACGAAGTCGCGGGTACAGCTTGTCTATAATATATCGAATAAACTTACTACGCCAGTATAATATAACTACTTAAGTAATATAAGGTTTAAACAAACTAGATACCTGGCCCGGCTATGTACGGGTGTACATGTATTATACATATAAACCCTCTTGAAGCACTCTATGTACTGCGAAACACTGCATTAAAATCCTTTCAGTATTTTAAAAGATCGAAGCAAACAAAAGGTGGAATCAACTTCATTTTGTACTATGTAAAGATAAAGGCATTAAAAATAAATAAAAATGTAAATTTGTAATTAATAATGGTTAAAATATTATTACAATAGACGTCTTTATCATTATTATATAATAAAAACTAGTGATATAGTTCCATTGTATTCCTCTATTAAAACTATATATAAAACTGACGTTATAACAGTTTATAATTGGCGTCGTCGTATAGATATATTTTTCGTATATAAATATGAATCCGAGTTAGTTACACCATATAATTTAGGAAAGAATAAACTTCTTTTCACTTTTTATAACTATTTATAAAACAGTAAATTTAATCAGGAAATATTGTATGAAAAATTAATTTTATATATCCATTAATATTGTCAAATAGACCCATGATATGGTCTAAAATGAATTTTGTAAGAAATTGTGTATGGAACTGTTTATTGAACAATATCTCAAGAACAAATTGATCGATTTCAATGAATAATTAAGGCGACACGAAGTATGTCGAGGCAGATACTTCTGGTTATTGATTATATTATCAATAACTCGGTAATAGGGTCTTGTATATACAAAGATGCATGTTTTGCATAGCTTAGATTCAAGGTTATTGTCAGCAATTGCCGGCAATAATGTCGGATCTAATAAATGTACAGTACATACTTAGTACTGATACTGCGCCTGGAATACTAAAAGAGATCTTTATTTTAAACTAGCTGTGAGCGCGGTTTCACCTGCGATAAATTTCAATAAAAAATATAGCCTATATGTTATTCTAATGCATACCTAAGGTATATTACTATAAAGTTTCATCAAAATCCGTTCAGTAGTTTTTGCGGGAAAGAGTAACAAACATCCATACTCACAAACTTTCGTGTTTATAATATTATTAAGATAAGATTAATACATGAAAATTATTTTCAAACTGATTCGAAAGGACTGTTTTTTCGTTATATATTTATATGGTTACTGCAGCTGACCTTTCCAGATTCACGGCATAATAATAGGGATAAGTATAGATAGACAAAACCACGACGCGACATATAAAGTGGCTGATGATATACGTACCTGTAGTCTAAGACTACTCATAGGAGTTCAGACCTGGGATCTGGCCGTAAAATAATACAGGCCTCTGGAGTGGCAACTTATGTGAGATATTATAGGTTCACATAATGTAAGATTTATCATCATATATATAGGCGTCAGTTACCATATACTATTAGGAGTGCCGTTTACTCATTTGCCATTACATATAAAACAAACTATATTTATCCTGCGGCTTTAAGTCGGGTCAAGATTTGAATCTATTTGAATTGTTGTCTTCCTACGATGATGATCTGCACCTGTCTCACCCGTGTTTTGGATGTATATATTCTTACAACATAGTAATCGTTACTTTGGAATAATTTACCTTTCAAATATTACCTTTTTACAATATTAATAAAAATCTACGGTAATCTAATATTATAGAGATGTTTTTTAGTATTTATAACACAAGTTTGCACACCTCAGGTATCGTATTGACGTTGCGAACGTTCTCGCTGGCCCGGTGGACGGTGGACGGCCATTCATCACCGTTGCCATTGGTGCGTCTTATAGCCCCTCTGTAAAATGGTTAACAAAGGGTGAAATATATTCTGCCAATGAAAAAGTGATCTTAATTCCTTTTAGTAAAAGATCACGATCCAAACCAATATCACATACAATCTTTTTGATTTGAAATATATTTAGCATACTTGATATAGTTGTTGTATTGTGTATTATCGGAGTCTAGATGCAAACGGCGCTGTCCGTATGAATTCAGTCGAAAAGTATCCTATATATTAATCTATATGTGTAACATATTTAATTCGAATCCAACCACGGCTTTTTTTAGAATAACATCCAATCATCCAAGCATATAATCCATTGACGACCTCGGTGATCTAGCTATTTAGCACATCGCTTTACTTCTAATGGTCGCGGGTTCGATTCCTCGCACTCGTTTGTATCGGTTTGGGTGTTTTCTAGTATAAAAGTATGTATGTATTTATATAAGTTGTCTAGTAACCGCAATACAAGCTCTGCTTAGCTTGTGAATAGATAGCGCTGTGTGAATTATCAAAGGAAGGATATTATAAGGAACATTGATTGTTTGTGTTAAACGGTCCAAATACATCCGAAAAATTATAGATTTTAATACATTTCCAACGCCAACTGCCAGTAATAACATTAAATGATTAAGGCCATCAACCTTGGTATTCCAGCGGTTTAGCACTTTACCTAACTTCCGATAGTCACGGGTTCCATTCCTTGCACGATATATACATTCGTATATTTATTTATGAGAATGATTACATGTGTCGTATAGAGTGTTTTCTATATTATGTATGTGTAGTACAGTTGTCTAGTACTCCTAATACAAGCTCCGTTTAGCTTGGGACTAGGTTGCTCTGTGTGAATTGTCCTGGGTTTTTATTACTACGTTTAAGGTTCAGAAGTCTAATACATAATATAAATTAAATATATAATTACTTATTAGAAGTGCTGGCTTCATTCCGTAACTCTCGCTCGAGCTTGCTCGGTTCTCCGCCAAACATAAACGGGCTAGACGATCGCTCACCCTGAAATGTTAAAGTTACAATGTTAAATATTGAAACATACTATATAGTATATAGCATATAATGTTCTACATAACAGAAATCTCAAACAATTTGTCGGTACATCTGGCGTTACTTGGCAACCATCAATCAACCATATTTTTCAGTGATACACTTCATGCTTTGCCATTCAGGTGCACTACAGTGTTATGTCTATGTGCCCTAAATTTTCACTGTCATATCTCACCATAATTTTATGACTAGTATTTACACCTCATATATAGATCGCGATAATCTCAGAACCTACTACTCCATATTACATACATATTTTATTATTGATAAGACTAGTATTTTTCGGGAAAGGCAATTCATAAGACTATTATTGGCAACAGCAATAAGTGCCAAACAGTTTAGTATGCTTGCATATATGTACATACTATAAGGTGGACAGTTTCAGAGCTTTCCTCCGCAAACTTAGATTACGGTATGAACTACCTGCCGAGGTTTTCATATTCATTTCAAATTAAGGTTTCTTAAGGGTCAGTAACGCGCACATAACACCCCTGGTGTCTCAAGCGTCTGTAGGTTACGGTATCCATTTACCATCAGATGAGCCGTATGCTTGTTTGCCACTATAGTAGTATAAAAAAAAAATGGAGATAAGGGTTGATAGTAATGAGAACCAGTGAACGTGGGATTAAATTCATCACGAAGAGTGTAAACCGTTAGTGTCTCGTTCCGTTATCATACATAAAAAATATAATTAGTTGGAATACGTTACCTCGTTCTCCATGTCGACTAGAACACAGAAGGGGAACCTCCTGTCGTAATCATCACCGCAAGTCATTTGATCTGTAAGAAGAAAGATTTATGCATATTTATGTTTTAATACATATACGAACTTTTGATCATTCCTCGGAACACAATTCATTTGAAATTTACTTTCGAACCAAAATGAAAGAAACCTACTTGTATGCTGCAAAATTCATTTTTCTAGGCCTAGTATTGATTGATAGTCAATTAAAATCAACAAATAGTTCATATGAAAACTATAAATGTTGTTTCATTTTATAGCCATAGTTACCTAAACGTGTTTGTATCATATTTGGAATGATGTTGTTTTACCTCTACCTTTTCTTCAATAGTAATTAAACCCAAATTGATTACACATTGAAAAATAAGAACCAATTCTATGACAATAGCTGATTAATTTAATATTTCAATATTTTTTGGTACTATATTGCTACTAATGATTTGCATGAAAGCTATTGTTACCGCTTGCTGCGGCGTCATCATCGTCGTCAAACTTCCACGACTCCATGTCGTCAGGGTCTTCACCACATGCACTCCATAGACCACTGTACTCCAAATGCTGTAAAAATGTAATTAAAAAGATTGAATATAATAAAAAAATATTGACATATTACAAAAACTAGCCAAGTCTCTAAAAACGAGTAAAAGCAAATTTTTTGATACATATACGTAAATAGCTGTTTTTAGTATGTAATCTAGTAATATACTGAACAGAATAGAATATAATTAACTGAAATTGGCGGTAAAAGAACGGGAATGTATTGTAGGGGACTGGTATGTACGGGTATAGACTGAAATAAAAAAAGCTAGTTTATTTTTATGGTTTTTATATACCGGTGGTGGACTGCAAGACTCAGTGGGAACTAGTAGCTCCTTATCAAGGTGCCGATGATATTGGAGACACCACGCGATCTCCGCGCTGCTGTCGGTGTACGCGCGAGCCGAGTCTTCAGTCAAACGAACCCATGTACCGTCTTTGTTCACCACCTGTTCAAACATGATTCATGTTACTTATGCGTCAGAGAGGAATGTCAGCTAAGAATACTATAATTCATTCATTTACGAAATATTATACAAAACCCCAAAATTATTAAAAATAAATCAAAATAAACATAACTAAAAACTAAATTGTTTATTTTTAATTACTTTTCATTAAAACTTCATACTTAATGTTATAAATGAGAAAGTGTATCAGACTATGCGATTGATCGATCCGTATCAACACTAAAGGGCTGAATGGATCTTTTATTATAATTATTTAAATCTGGGACTATAGACCGGAATCCACTGAATTTTTTTTAAAGTCCATGGAAGGCCTGTTCTGTTTATTAACACTAGTTAGGGATACTTGGCGCAAATCTTACCTCTTCAATAAAAGCGATGTTCGCCCCAGGGGGCACACGGCCGAGTTCCTCCGCCTGTAGACTAGGGCTGGCTCTTACACGTAGTCCAGCGCTATACTTGGCGACGAATCGCCGAAATTTAGAGGGGGTTGGTTGATGCACTGCTGCTTCCTCTGCACGTACTCCTCGCTCTTCGGGTATTTCGATAGAAGTATCAGCTACCTCCACAGTAAGCTCCTTATTGAGAAAAATACATATGTATAAACAAATATGTATGTACATATGTATGTATGCAGGTATGATGTATCAGTGTTGCCCGAAAGTTAAACTTAAATTCTCGATAAAAACTAATAATTAAAATTTTTTATGTGATGATTAAGTCGACGATGAATGATGATGATGACATAGATATGGCGTATGTATATATGTAAGTATGTATGTATGCATGCATGTATGTATGTATGTATGTAAGTATGCATGTATGTATGTAAGTATATATGTATGTATGTATGCATGTATGTATGTATACATGTATGTAAGTATGCATGTTTGCATATATTCATGTATGTCTGTATGTATGCATCTATGTATGTATGCAAGTATGCATGTATGCATGTATGCAAGTATGCATGTATGCAAGTATGCATGTATGCATGTATGCAAGTATGCATGTATGCATGTATGCAAGTATGCATGTATGTAAGTATGCATGTATGCAAGTATGCGTGTATGCATGTATGCAAGTATGCATGTATGCAAGTATGCGTGTATGCAAGTATGCATGTATGCATGTATGCAAGTATGCATGTATGCATGTATGCATGTATGCATGTATGCAAGTATGCATGTATCGATGTATAATTGGATTTATGTATATAGACGTATGTATAGAAATTATGTGAGAGGGGTGGGGTCAAAAAAGTATGGCCACTGTGATCGTAGAAAGGGGAGAAAGGGGGTTGTACAACTTCCGCAATTGGTGTACATTAACTTTGTACGACCCCTTACCACCAGGAGGGCTGTCAGCTTCTATTCTACTCCTATTACAAAAGAAGGCAAGGGAACCAAGATTACCACTTGAATCTCTTTACGAGTTAAACAGTATTTAATTCCCAGAGTTAATTAATTCCTCATTCGCGTTTGCGTTCCTATATATGGCTCCATTGCGTCACTATCCTATCAAGGTGGACGGTGGATGAACTATTTATCGAATTTTCTAAATAAATGAAAATCTCTCCGAACTGATTGTAATTATAGTTTGGTTACGGAGAGTGCATCTTCTGTGCACCGTTTATAACAGAGCTTTCTTCAAATCCAAGGCAAGAAAACTGATCAGATATAAACATCAGTTGCGATTCATTGTCTCGTTAAACCACAAAAATGGTTTGTCTTCTTAAAGTCAAATCAGATAATCACAAAACACTTTTAATACTACTTACTTAAAATAAAATGTCGGTATATTCCAGAATTTTTTCTTTGTGTGTAACAAACGACCAAACGACTATTTCGAGCAACAACCGGGCAGAATATGGGAGTGTGAGCTTAACGCAGCTAGATTTTAAACATCGACATTTTAATAACTGACTGATATATGGATCGAGAACCTAACCTACTTCCAGATGACCTAGAAAGTTTTGAATTTAGCACCCAGCTAGGTGCAGTGAGGTACGGGGATGGGGGGTACGCTTGCCCGGATACCCTAGATACTGTATCCGCCCCGCCGGCCGGGCGTACTGTATCTAGCCTAGATTTAGCTCATAGCGCTCTCATCGATGTCCTGGACCCCCCTTTCCCCTGCGACCCCTGCGCGAAACGCTCCTGTTGCGCGTCCCAGGCATTCCCCCCCCCCCCCCTACCGCGCGGGGCGGAGATAAAATTGATTGCCTGAAAATTATTTAAAATCGTAATAATTTAATATTTTATGACTTTTCCTTTGTGTACGGTAAATTACCAGGCCGGACTTCTAGACTACGTGGAGTGCGTTCAATTTTTGACCCATGTCAGTCAATGATAAAAAAAAACGATTTTAGACTTTATATCAGTAACCATATGAGCCACAGCAGCGAAGCCAGTGTCTTTTTCTGAACTTAGCTTACGTTTGAATACTCCCACATATGATGATGATATTTAATGATGAAACTACTAGAAATACGAATTATGATACGGAAATGATATGAGTATATCATTTATAGTACAAGGTTCCTGTAGCCATCTTCTCCAACAATACGCGAAGTCACCATTAAAATTAATAAATCGTCACTGTAGTCCAAATCTCTGCTAAATATATTGTAAAGGACTTGCCAATATTCACCAAATTGAATAAAAGTTACACTGATACATTTATATATAAATCCTTTTGTTCTAGTCAAGTCCTGGGAATACAAAGAAATGTTGGCAAATTGTATACTTGCGTCGTCACCACACACAGAAATATGTTTTCACATTATATTAAATAAATTTAAATGATATAAGGAAACAAAGGAAAGCCCTAGGCACTTACCTGTGGTGTGGGCTGCTGATCGAGAGTGCACCTGAACACGTAGACGCCTGGCGCCCGCGGTGTCCACAATGCAATGTAAGATCCGTCGGGCTGAGACCGGATGGCCAGGCGCTCAGTGGGCACGCGCCCGTTGTTCGTGAGCACAGCGCCTGCGCCAGACCCACCCCACTGCCCACTCAAATAGCGCAGCTCCTCAAAAGAGTATATCTGGTATGGCTAAAAATGTAAATGTAGAGATACATATAAAATACACCTAATTTCTTGCCCTTACCTAATATTTAAGCCTTTGTGCATCTACAGCCAAATAACAAGTGGTAACAACTCTTGTACCAAAAATCTCAAAACGAAATTGGGTTGCCGAAGCTACATATTCATATATTACGTCATTTTAATATTTGAATACAGTAATAGTATAGTGTAATGATGTATGTATGATTTCTAAAAATCTAAACCCAGAAAAGGATTTAATTCAGATTGCAATGTATTTAATTTATTTCCTTTTTACGTAAAATTTATGGGCGTGAACGTAGTTTGGGATGATATCTTGAGAAGATATATTAAAATTAATAATTGTTTAGGCTTATCATTGAGAAGAATCCTCCTGCATTGATTGATAAAGAGAATAAAAAAAATAACCGTATAAACTCAACTAAGAACAATGATGTTATTCTTAGACAAAGACGTCGCTAACCATAACAGAAATATCTGAGAATATGAGAATAATTAACATGCCGTCGAATATGAGAATAATTAGTATGCTTTATTATTTATCAGCTGATTTAGAAGTGAGAACCGCTATTTATCAAAATTTATTATGAATTTTATATAGCTATCTTTCAGAATGCACCCGTTATTGCAGTTGCATCCGGTTAATCAATACAGCTACCTAGTTTATTGATTCTGGGCGGTGCGAGCTCGCCCGGGTCAGCTAGCATTGCATATAATATTATGTACGTTATGCAACCCAGCCCTAGACGGAACTACCTAGTGTACCTATAATAAACACGTTCAAATGATTGATTAGTATGAACAATGTATGCATAGCACATCGAGTAAGTTCAACTAACTGGTCACTGTAAATACCACTTGTGGTTAAAAATGCGTGCTTAATGGTTTTATTGCCGTTCCGTTGGGAAGACATTACCTGCTATATTATAGACATATGACACATTTGGAAAGGCACTTCATATGTATTCTAATTACAACAGTGTTTTGTCATTGTCTTTCAAATTAATTACTCTAAGGAATAAAACAATTCAATATAAGTAACCCAGCACTACTTAAAATAGGTAAATTTTGAATTGGTCCAATATAAATAATATGTATACAGATAGATAGGTAAATAAAACCAAATTTCGACCAAGATGAGTTTGGATTTAGAAAATACTTATACATAATATTCGTAAGCCCATGTATTGAGGAGGGCTATAGTTATATATGACTCTATGACTAATATGATATTGCAATAAATATGTCGCCAAAATAGGCAAAATGGACTCAGATGAAGTTTAGAGTAAAAAATAAGACACGAACTTTATTTTCCTTATTTAGTTTTCTAGCAGAACTTTAATATATTTAATCTATCAATAACTTTTATCGTCTCGTCGTTGGAAAATTACAGCCACCAAAGCAATTTGTTCTTGTTTAGCAGATAATAAAACCTTGGCATTGGGCTTTTTTAATATGCCTATTAATCTGTAATTACACTGCCTAATCTGACCCTACATGCACAGCTTAAAAACTGCTTAGCGATTAAATAGGCATGACTGAGGTACGCATGCAGGCGATTTCTTACATAGACTGTAACCACCTCTATGTAAGAATTCTACCTCCGGTAAATCCTGATGTCCCAAAAGTAAAGAAATATTCCAAGATATCGATGACGACTCTTTGCACTGTTTCTTTGCTGCTTCTTCCAAAACCTACTCTTTGTAACACGGATGTATTATCACGTCTTATTTTCCCCTTATGGGGTAATAATATTACTCTATACTCACTACTGCATAAACAATATATAAAAGTCATAACTGGCCTTTCAAAGAGTTATACAGGCCAATAAGTTACCGATCACGGTTTTGCTTGACCTACTTACGAGGGGAATTAAAAAAATTACGGAGGGGAGGCTAAATAGTAATAATTAAAACTCAAGACCAGTTTCCTTATTTAATATATTATATACACTTAACTATAATACACGTATTCATTAAATCTTTCAATTAACTTATTAACATTTACTCAGAGCCGAGAAATGTTGTTTTTGTTGTAGAAATTGCACCTCTTGACCTTTTCATGTTGGAAAATTTCCTCGATGCTCTATGTTAGTTTCAAAAACATATAACATTATATATAGTATTATATATTCATTTATAAACTTTATTTACTATACAATATTATGCCATATATATTTTACATTACATGCCTTATAATAATTACATTTTATTCAATATGTACTGTAACAATTTCTTTTATTAGTTGATTGTGCAACGTAGGCTTCCACCAAATATTTCCAAGAGTTCCATGTGTGGTTTGTCACTATTTTGGCTCTTCTCCTCCTTGTAGGTCGCTTTGATCACATTAAAAGTTCTCGAGGCTGATGTGGGTTGCATAACCCGTCCCGTACGACTCTGGCACATAATTATGTCCCATTCACATTTATATTCAGGCATATTCAGATCTAAACCTTCACTGCAGGCAATCAAAGAACAAGTAACAATACTTAACTCGCCGCTGCATCTTGTTCGGCATGAGCATTCTCATCACCTGCCTTTACCTTTATAATCTTAAGAAGAAAGTTGTTGTCAAAAATACACTCTGTAACTTACACTCCGATCTTTTCTACAAGCTTAATTTTTTTAAGAGCAGCTTTTAATATCATTTGTAATTTGTCGCTATTTTCTGTTTCAAATTAGTCACTGCCTTGCAAGTAAAGGTAACAGAGTTCTAAAATAGTTTGACGAGATATTTAAGACTTGATAATTCCTTATATTCTTCTTTCAAATTCATTCCCGGAATGATTTTTTAATTGACCAGCGTACCGCTAATAAGTGTCACAATCAGTATAGGTAAAAAAGTAGTCTTCTATCACCATAACAAATAGTATGAACGAGTTTGGGAATAAAAGTGGCTAAAATTAGATGCACAATGGCCGAAGTTAGGTAAAATGATTGATACTTAACGATAAATTCAAATATCTTTTAAATTATTAAAGTTTAAGGTATATTATTCTAAACACCATCACATCAGTTGACAACATTGATTTAGAAAAAGTATTATATTACGTACTTTAATCATTAAAATTCTGTAACTTCAGCAGTTACGCTCATTTACGCTAGTCAAAATAGGATATTATAAAAGTGGATAATAAGTATAATACAGTTCTTTAATGGAAATAGCGGTCAAGCTGACTACCTATATTATTAGAAGTGGTAAAAATCGCCTATAAACATGAATAGGAGTGCGAACAACACGTTGTCATATGACATTTCAGATATCATCATCCCATACGTTGCCATTTCAGAGGAAAAGATTGTTATGTCTCTTATCCCTTAATTAAGATCACTCCCTAATTATATATCCAAATCAAAACCCTACAACCGGAACACAGTTTAAAAAGCAAACTGCTTGATTTGACACAGAGGTTATGGGTTGAAACATTTGAGACAGAAGTACCCATGTAGACGACTATTTACAAACTCTACCTCGGTAGACTATGCAGGAAAGTAAAAGTTTTAAATAAAATTCTATACAAAACCTCCTCGGTAATGTTAACCTGCTCACAAATTATAATAATAATAATAATAAATTTATTTGTAATGTCAATTTAAAAGGTTATCATGTCATGATAATACTGATGCTTTCGTTCTTGTAACCGAAATGATACTTTTCTAAATAGAGCATGCAGTACTAGAGAACTAGAGTGGAAATGGAACATCAAGGCCACCCATTCTAGTTAATCTATGTTCTTTATTTTAAACTTACCTTCATCATTGTAATGGCCTGGAAACACATTGCATCCTTCTTACAGGGTTGGTATGGGATGTCAGGCAGGTTGCCTGGATGCCCCACTGAACTTCGGCTTTGACGCGAGTTAGCGTCTTCCATGCGTTGGACCACCACCTTAATATTTAACAGTTACTATACAAATTCAGCAGAAAACAATACTCAGATGATCAAGTATTTATTAAAATAAATGCAGCTTTCAACAAATTTTTTGACCTGTTTAATTTCATTACTGGTACACATATTATGACAGGAACAATTGTCCTCATTTTCGTTATAATTACACCCCATGAGAAGCCGGGTGGGACATCTAGTTTCCAACGAAAGCAGCTAGTATCTTTGATACAACAATGTAAGGCAGCCACGTCACGTGTTTTCGTGATAGATTCATTAAATAAATGATGAGAGGAATGATAACATGGTTCGCGGCAAGTCAAGGCCTCCGGCGTGATCTTGGAAATTATATAAATTAACCTCTTTCACACTATGTTGCTTATCATAAATTGATTAGGATAGGTTTAATTGCATTTCTATTCTCTTCCGTTATGGTTAGATAATTTTATACATAGTTGCTGTTTATGAAGCTCCTAGCAGTTACATTGTTAAGAGTGATAAAGTTATCAAAAACAGATAAATGTATCCGTAGTGAGAATGAATATGTATGTATATATACACGTTAGTTATAAGAAAAGGTATTCTTTAAATATTTCTGTATTTAAACCTAATTAAATATTTATTTGAAAACAATAAAGATATTGTAAACAGTAGCATTACCACACTAATCATGATCAAATGCTATTAAAACCAATACATTACCTACCTTCATCAATTATTATTTAAAGATCTCTATTACAGATGGGATAGTTAGAGTAATTGACTTGACAGTGTCAAATAGAATTAATACAACATCAACTCTAGAATCGCTCGACATAATATTTGAATCAAAATTTCCGTCGAACACTGTTAGGGGCGAGCTTACCTCTGAGGCTATTTATTTACCTCGTATTAGTTTGTCTTGTTATCTGTGTTTACATCTTTGGAGGTTCCAAATATAAATTAACAAAGTATTTTTAAGTCACAGTAGTAACGCTCCACTTTGGATTTTTTATTTCTATAAATAAATAACATATGGTTGCAAAATAACAGACAATATGCAGATAAATTGCGCGTGTTAACATCGCGCATTACAAGCTATTGAACCCATTGCATAAATGACCACGCGACAATGAGTTAATACAGGATAATCAAACGGAGAGATGGTCTGGCATATTGAATAGGTAATAGCAAAATTGATACATGATAGGGTACAATTGACATTCTCTGATTTAGTTATTGTAGCGTTCTTTGCTCCCGAGTCAAGTGGGCATTTACACAGTGATTGTTATACAGTGCCACTGTCCAACTCGTTACTCAAAATTATTATTAGTAATAATAACTTAGAACAAACAACTTTAGATAACACAGGGGGAAGGGTAGGTACAATTAGTAATGTGGACTACAACCATCCCATTACTAGCATTATAGCATGTCAAGTTGACTTTCACGTGGTTCCCTCTGAAAACCCTTTTGAAATTCCTGGTTTTGTAGCAATGGGCAAGTGACCTGATCTCATGCTCATCTCATCATAAAAATATATTATCCAACGCCATCTAGTCCAAAATGAAGCAGGGCTTAAACTATGGGTAATAAATAATCGAACAAACATTTTATGGATAGTTTTAATACTACCACCTATAGTCAGTATATTAATACAATAATCAATGTGACGTATGTTGTGATTTTATTTATTATCAATAGATGGTGTTTCCAAATATATGTGCACACATGACGTGGGCACTAGTTAGTCCTACATAAAATCCTTAAAAGTATTTTATGTACGATACAATTTAGCAGCCGATCTGTACGACCAATCTAGTTAGTGGATCCCATCAATTGCGTAAGGGAGGAGGCTAATTTGGTTAGTCGGGCGGACGTCCAGTAAATCGACCCGGTGCGCTGGTTCAGTGCTATACTCGTATGGTCTCATATTTCTATTTTATTCCCTTAATTCTGTTAACGATCCGCTTTGAAAATGCCTTTACACATAAACAGCACCACGACCAAATAAAAGTCTATCGTGACGCTCATGGTATTTCTTACGTATTCTCATGACTTGTATCTTGTAATTTTTCTGTCTCTTAAAATTCATTCTCGTAAACTGAATGCCATAAATGTAGTATAAAATACATCTTATTTGATACGTTCTGACAGTACCGCCGCGCTATAATGGCTGATGTCGTCTGTCTTACAACATTCGTCTTTTCTTGCTACTGGCATCATTCTTGTACACTCGTGGAGTGGATCGCCTATCGCTACTTTGTGTTGGTCTGTCCATCGCATGGGTGATCATCCACGGAGTCTACTACCTTCAAATCTGTATGACAAGCCGCCCAGCAGATACGTAATTTCTTCGTGAGACGAAACCGAAGAAGGTGATTATGTTATTGTAGATAAACACTGTAAGGCTGAATTCTTTATGAGTATAGACAAATTGATTATAAATTTAGTCCATAGTATCATTCTACTTAAACACTATATTTCCAGAACGTCGATCAAAAGGATCGACGTTCTGGAAATATAGTCTTCTCATTACGCGCTGGGTCCAAATCTCCGCAGAAATATGTACGTACAGAAATATGGTAAATAACACTGGGGTCCAAATTTTCAGTTTCATTTTGTGTAGCTTATCCATATCACTTCTCGCCAAGGCCATACATCTCCCAATATCTTCCATTTCATAAATATATTAAGTTATCTTTAATAATACTGGTTCGGTTTCATCAGCGCTTTCTAGAAATTGAGTACAAAATGCAGTTTTTACATATCCTGATGTAAGAAGTAATTAAAGGAATCATTATCGTCATGTTAATTTGTATCCACTACCGGAACCAGGCCTTCCATCATGTGCGAACTTCTGCCATCAGCATCCATCTACTCCCTGCTACCTTCTTACAGCCATCTTGCACGAAGGCGCCTGTACTCTTTTGACCGTCAAGGATTTTACTTCTCCATCTACCAACGCTATCTCACCAGATATAACGCTCCTGCTGCCCCTTCAGTCAGACAGACTTTGAGAGCTATGTCGTCCACTTTGAGCCTCCATCGAATTTCCTTTGTTCAAAATCCCTTAGAGAAACTCTAAACAAATGCATTTATTAATTTGTAAACTAAGCCTGTGAATGTCCAAATTATATATATGTGAGGTTTACATTAAGATTATTAGAAAATGACAACTGTTAATATATAACTAATGGAAAGGAATGTTGTGGTCAAAAAAGCTATTGCGATGATTAAACAATTCTAATGTCGGGAGACGCTTCATATAGCCCGCATTAGTAAACGACAAAAGGTCTGTTTTAAAATTTGTTGTTTTTTGTTAAAATCCGAGCGTTACGATAGGCTCGCCCCCTGCGACCGAGCGAAATCTGGTCATGTTAAGTGTTGCGTCCACCACGCCGGCGACGACGATTGAGGATGTCTCTTATGACTGCCCCATCTGTGTTAACAGTCCTGATTGTATATCTTTATTATGATTATTCTAAAATATTATTTATATAGGAATACTAACACTACATACATTATGACTGTTATAAGAACATTGAAAGTGTAACATATTATTTGGATGCCTATTAACATTTTCATAACATATACATACGTTAACAAAACCCATAAGTAGTTATTTATTATTACTAAGGTGTAACAACTTTAAAATTATAGGTGTACTACAATCATTCTGCGAACTTGAAACTGTTATAAAATATATGTAAATATACGAGTATACAGCTTTTTTTTTAAAGAATGATGACAAACAATTACATATATGTATATAATGTCTGTCATTACAAATACATATATAATGACAGTCATATACATATTGATAATTTGATTAATTGATAAGCATCAGTGAATTCCTAACAATAATTCTCTGTGCAAAATTAGTTAAATTTAGAAAGTAATATGATATATGTACATTGGCTCGACGATAATTCATGACGGTGCAACCCTAACACCCGATTGTGATCTAATTTACAGCACTTATGTCTTTCATTCAGGGTCACATGCATTCATATTATTTTATTCTTAACAAATAAAATAAAACTACACATTTTTTTTAAGTATCTGACGAAAAGTAGTGACCGTCGGCGTTGGCTACATTTATTATATAGGCGACAGTTACCTCTACGGACATCATGTTATCATGTAACACCCGTAATACTAATTCCGCGCCATATCATTCCGGTGTACTAAGATATAGAGGCATCATCCATGTCCTGTAATTTTATTGCCTTGTCTGTGTGGGAGATATACACATACGAAAAGAAAAATATCAATCACCCAGTTCAGTAGATTACTAAAACTGGTACTTATATGCATTTAACTACAATTTTTTATTAGGACTATATTGTATTGCCGTGCTAGAGTCACGGCAATATAATAGAGCCTGTTGCCTGCCATTACAACTATACCAGACAAAAATATGGTCAAGTATAGTGGGCAATTCAAACCAGCGGGCTTATGGAGCAGCTGAAGACCATATCATATTCATACCATACTCAGTTGAAGCCGTCTTGATTACGATCTCCGTTTGAATAGGACCAGGAATCGATCGTAAGTACGACTGCTTCGACATTTTCGCAAGCGAGGACGGTGTCCTGTGTTTTTGTGACGACGAGGTAGATACGTACTGGGAATAACAGTAGGATATTTGCTGCCGTCATGGGATTATCAGAACTTGCCTCAGGCGAAGTTGTCGGGCAAGGATATCAGTCGGGTACAAATTCATACTAAGTATGAATGAAAATAGTACTTCTAGACTAGACAAGTCTACCTCACTAAAAATGCTAGTGTTATACATATACTAACCAAAGCAACGCACAATGCGTTGTTTGGATAGGTTGGCTATTTTGTATGTTCATATATATTAATATTATGTATATGTATACATATACAATATACATATAGTATATACCTCAACTTTTAACGCGGGTGATGCAACAATTTCTCCATACTGATCACGGATGGTAATGGCCAATGAGGTCATAACTGATGGTTGTGGTGCGGTCGGTGGCGGCTTCATCTCGCATTTAGATGGTTCCACCCTGGACCTCGGAGATAGCCAACAAGCTAGACGGCCGCCAGCTGTACTCTCGGCTCCCGCCACGAAGTCCGATAGAAATTGGCGCTCAGTAGAGACGGACCTGTTAAAGAAATAGTAAAATGAATATTGTATTCTAACATAAACTAGGGGGGAATGAGGTTAGAAGTAATGGAAACTATTGGCCCATTACAAGTTGACTGACTATCCTATTTGTCTGGTCAACCTCCACGCGACTCCCCTTGAAAACCAACGTGGTTCAGTCCTAGTAAATTTGTCAGAACGGGCCTGACATGGCTTTATCCTTATCCTATCATTCACTACTCGCACCCCGCCACTTTCAGCGCATTACTACATTTCTATTGTATCATAGGCTGGCAGGTAATACTGATACTTAACCGTTTGCATTTTGACACACTTTTTATAGTTGTCATTGGAGCATACAAGATTATGCTATTTGGAATGCTAAGCATAGCTAATTTATATTATAGTCAATCGTAATTATGTGGAGGAAGACGCCATTAAAAGTCGGTAAAAATATAATACTTTAAAATAAAATCAGAAATAAATACTAATACATATTAAAGTTAATAATAAATATTAAGTTTATTTAAAAGTTAAATAATGTTAGCTTTACTTCGAATCGTGGATATTATTGAAGTATAATTTTGTTTGTAAATCAAAATCTTATAAGACAAGATATATAAACTACTCAACTTTTATTTTGCTGCTTGCTTTTTAAAGAATACATGAAGATAGTTCTACAGAGGTTAATTGTTACAGAAGGAGTAAAGGTGTTTAAACTATATATGGCTCTATACAATTGAAACAAAATTATTTTAGTAGACGTCCACACCATGCAAATATATGGATTCGAATATTCTTCAATGTGTGACTTATGTAGGTAGGCTCTGCAATGTCTAATTTAGGACCTACAATTGACACGCAAAGGGCATACAATTGCAAAATCTATTTATATTAATGACGTTAGAGAAGAATAACACATTATGGGAACTTTCACATTTAATATTAATAAGATCTGGGTAGTAAGATGACACTGGATGACCCTAATTGTATGTCCAGTACGAAAGAGTCAGATTCGTGTAGGCGCAATTGGCATAATGGGTGTCTTCATAGCGAGGGAGACTTCAAGTACCGACCGATTTAGCTGGTATATTATATAATGATAACACTTTTGTTTCTAACATGTTTTTTTTTATTACATTGGAACGGTAAACAAGCACAGTGCTTGACTGATAGAAAGTTGTAACCACTGATTACATGAATTTCATCACAGACGTACAAATACATTATTACGCCCCAATCATTCTCTCATTCCTTAGAAATAGTAACTTATAAATATAATAAAGTAAATATAATGTCTTACTCTATATAATTTAACTACCATATTTCATCATGCATTTTTTTATCCAGAACAAAGTACACATGGCCATCTAGTCCAGTGTTAAGAGTACCAGACATTTAATATAAATATTTCTTTAAATGCATGGAAAAAATCCAGACCAATACAACAGTCATACTAACAAACATACAAACAATCATGAATACAAGTGTTTGCATCGTGAAATAAATCGAACACGCAACCGTCAAAGGTAAAGCGATGTGCTCAACTGCTAGACTACCGAGGCCGAAATTAGAGTAATATACTCTATATGACATTTAAAACCTCTCCCTTTTTTAAATTAGTTATAAAAGCATAATTATTATAACAGCAAACGTTATTCTCAATTTATAAGGATCTGTTTGTATTATTGTGATATAAATATAGAATTTGATTAACAATAGGCTCCTTCACTGTCCTTCGCCGATTAGATTACAATTAAGTATAAATACAAGTACGTAAATATTATGTCTACTAAATGGTTCTGAAAATATTATGTCTAGCACTGAAAGCCATTAATTTCAATATCCCATAGCATCAATTTCCAAGAAAAAAACTGTTGAAATTTCAGCAAAAAATAGTGTCTGGTGACACTGTGACCGACAGACGGGAGGGACACAAGTCACACTAACAAAAGTATTACCTTTTTAATGGAATGGTGTAACGGCTTGTGCTAACGGAAGCGCTGGCGGAGCACCGTAGTAATGGATAATAGGATGAACATGAGGTTAGGTCAGTTAGCCAGTGATGAATCCACAAAAAAATATCACGATAGTTATCAGTCAGTCAGTCAGGAAACCTCGTGATGGTGACATTGTTATCAATGAGCCCATTATTTCCCATTACTAACTATCTTCTACCTACCACTATCATTTTCGGTTCGGTATTATAAAATAAAGATATTCTGCTGAGATGATGGCTGATAATAGCTTGGCAGGGGGAAAGGGGATAGTAATCAGAGATGAAGGAATGATCTTATTGCCTCGCGATGTACCATTTCAGGTTGACCTCCTCGCGGTTCCCCCTAGAAACCATCGTGATAAATTCATGGTGACTGTCCCACGATGGGCTAACTGACCCGACCTCATGCTCATCTTATCATCCTTCCCAGGTGCCCCGCTAGCGTAAACTTTTAGCGTAGGCGGGTGTACTATTCCATTATGATACATAAAAAAAAAGTAGCTTGCGCATACAATGTTATAGTTACTTTTATATATTTATAATTTTATTTACATATACCTATTTTATTTAAATGAGTATGTTAGATTTAAAATTAGCAAACATTGAACCAAAGAAATGATATTAAGACTGAAAGGTGCAAAACAGGAATATAGACACATTCTGAGCCTATAGACAGACGGTTATATATGATAGATGTTTGAAAGGCGAGTTTGCAAGCTTCGTATACAATACATACCAGTTTGAAACTGAGGGGATTACTATTTATTTTAACGTGTGAAAGATATTTATTCACAAGCTGCATATGCAACTGTATTGTAATAAAAACCAACAGTTTTAATCAAATATAGTAATGCAGCCAGGCGAGAACCAACACCATAGCTATTACTTGCAATAAATTTAATAATAATCTTTACTCATTATATTACAAAAGATGACCTTTAAATTGTGCATATTGAACGAACAAGGTTACTGTAAGTATTTATTCGTAGGATAGGTAAGTAAATACAGAATACAGTCGTATATGGTAAACAATAGTCGATTAGACTCTTCGATGGTTAAAACAAATAGTAAGAAATAGGGGACTTGACTTATCAAGAATATGTAACGTGGCACAGGACATGTGATGTGAGTGCATCTGTTGCATCTCTGTTGATCTCAGCGCGGTGCAAGCAACTACGATACTACCAGTATCTCCCGTTTTGAGCTGCCCGCATTATCATCGATAAAAGTATCGATAGTGGCTAGCTCATAAAAATAACAATATTCATTTAGATTTTTTTATTTAAGTGAACCTATAGATATAATATATAATACATATAAAAAAACGTTATAATAGTAGTAATTCATGTGCTAGAAGATACACCTTCAATTTTAAAATTATTACAATCTTAAATTGTGATAAAAAGTTAAGTTTCATAATTATATCTCAAAACATATAATCATCATAATCATTGTCTTGCTGAATGCAACTAAGTTTTTGGGGTCGGCGCAGTATGTCATCATCTACTGCTCCCTATAGGCTCTCCTTTTTTACACAGCAAAATGAAAATGATCAGATAGCAATCAAAAATTATTTTCTGAAAAAAATAAAAATTTCATTACCATAATTGCACGCTTATTACCTTGAAATCATAATTGCGTTCCTAGTTAATGAACCTGTCATTTAGTAAAAATGTTTTCACTAATACTAAGTAATAATTCAATTATAGCTACAAGAAGGTGACTTTAAATGTATCGCATTTAAGTTAAGTTTAAGTTTTGGTAAGAATTATAAGTAAGTATGGTAAGAAATATAAGACAAAACATTTATTGGGTAACTTTATTATATAAATATAACCCAAAACAATAATAGTTACAATTTTGGTCTCTTTAGGTTTGCGTTGTTACAAGCTGATCATAAAAATGGCTTTAGCAATTTAAGCGCATATTTGAGTCGTTGCTACAATTTACAAACAAGAAAGTTATACACTATTGTTACTCAAAATGCGACGGGGTATAGATATAAAGCCGCCGGCTCAGCTAATGTGACATAATTAAATTCGTCAAAGTTCGGGAGTTGGCAGACATTCAGTTGATTGGAGAGCTAGAGTAATTACGATAATACATACAATCTTGTGATTACAACTTACAATAACGTATAGACTCTTCTATCGTTGTTTAAAAACGGATCCAATCATTAGGCAGTTCATAGAAACAATTCACTTTTTAATTTGCAATGATGATATTTCTACACTATATGAAATTACGCCCTTTCAACTTAAAGAACGATTTTCCAAATCGTTTTAGAAATGACGAACTTCGGAAGTAACAAACAAAAAAATTCAACCGAAGTGAACAACACAAAAAATAGCAGGTTTGTTCGTAAAGTTGGTCTTATTAATATTAATTCACATACTGAATTAATAATTACAGTTAGAAAAGTTTCATCATTAAACTACAATGATGAAATCATTTCGGTCTCATTCAGCCTTAGACAAGGTAAAATCACTTCTCCACCAAGTTAATAGTTTAGATCCATTATTCCTAATTACCATTATAATGCATTTCACGCAATTGTAAAAATTAGTACATATTGTGTGAACATCGCCAATTGCCTATATAATCGAATCATCGACATCGATAATTGGTAGCGTCAATAAGTGATCAACACTAGAACAGGCCGACTGTCGAGAGAACCAGCGGAGCGGACGGCGGACGGCTTGTAACAGTCAGTCCGTGGATAAAATCCGTGGTGAGTGGTTGGTCGCGCCGAGCGCGGCACCATGTCGCGCCTCCTCGCGTTCGTCGTGCTTATTGCCACACAGACTTTAGTACGAACAGAACCTCAAGACTTGTGCCAGCGAAGCTACTGCGAGTGCAAGCCGGCAATACACCAAGCATGGAATCACATGAACTGCACCATGCCCTCCCATCAGGTACCGAATTCTTCATACATTTATGACAAACAAAAGTGAACGTGTTGTATGTACCTACCAGATGTGTTACGATTACGCTCAGAACAGAGGCTGACTAATGGCAACCAATGATACACAGCTTAAAACTCGTTTGTAGCTATGTCAGTACTAAACTTTGTTTAGACATGTTGTGAATTTGCTATGATAATGATTTTATAAGTTATATCCCAGAAAAACATAAATATATGAACGGTCTATGGCAACACTTCTTAGAAATTATATTATGATGACATAATAAACACTGTATTTTAGAGGAGAACTACATTTTTGTGGAGAATATAATTTCTTAGTCTTCTAATATGTACAATTCTTGTGTCAGTGTTTTTAATATAACTCCTACGAAACAGCTTGACCATTTCTTATGAAATTTTGTGTATATATTCAGTAGATCTGAGAGTAGTACACAAACTATTTTTCATGTGGTGGCATAGATTTTAATAGAATTATAATTTATATTTCATACAAAAGAAATAACTTTTTTATGTTTCGTCATAAAAATACATGGAACTCTACATTTTCTACCATCAACCCTTACTTTTGATAGCGATATTAGTACTTTAATTTATATGGCAAAACAACATTTGCTGGGCCTGCTAGTTATTATATCAAATTCATGGAAATTTCCATTAATTTATTCCTATAATAAATGGAATAAATTCAATTAAAAGTGTAAATATTGTCCCTTCTAAATGGAATAAGATTCGTAAATAATAATAAACACAGCGAAGTGAATGAAAAAAATAAAAATGTATACAGAAAAAAAATATACCTGTGGGTCGATCCCAACGTACCATTCCATATTCAATATTCATCAGGGGTGGTGAATTGTATACAAATAACCTAAAATAAATGTAGACATTTTACGACCACTTTAAAATTTCTTTCTGTAATATATTTAATCCTATTTGATTCCAGAAAATAACAAAATAAATAGGCAATAACATTACAATAGATGGACACGAACAATTATTATATATAATATATTGCAACATATTACTTGCTATTATAGTTTATAAACATGAAAGAGACGCAGTTAGTACATATGGATTCATTTTTTGTGATAATTAGTATAGGCCGGTTTAATGTTATTAAATATATATCACTACAGTTAGTTAAAATAAATGTCCACTTTATTGTAGTTATAAACTTCGACAATATCCTTACAATAATTATTTTTCACAATAAATAAGTTTCAATAAATAAAGGGACACTAAATTTACCTAATGTTAAAAAAGATAAGTTGGCATGCAGTCAATGACCCCCCTGAGGCGTAATATATATTAGATGTGAAATATAATAATGAATATTATACATTTTATGTTTAAACTAATAATAGAACGCTATGGCCGTCATAATTGTCTGGGTCACTATTACATATATCTACCATAATGCTTGGTGTGACCATTTACATAATAATGACAATATTAATAATAAAAATATCAGGACTATTCACAAAGAGCCATCTAGACCCAAGTTAAACTAGCTAAACCTTGCGTTATGGGAACTAGATAACTGACAGTGTACATAGATTTTTTTTTGTAAATACACACCTATTATACATAAAAAACAGCCATACCGATACAAACCATCGTATTCATGAATACAAATATTTGTGCTGTGCGAGGAATCAAACCTACCATGGGAATTTAAGCGGTGTGCTAAACCGCTAGACCAACGTAACCGTCCAATATTACAGTTTAAATTCAAATTGCTATATATATATATATATATATATATCTATTAATCTTAATAAGTATATATAATAATATTATAAAGGCGAAAGTTTGTAAGTATGGATCGATGTTTGTTACTCTTTCACGCAAAAACTACTGAACGGATTTTGGTGAAACTTTACAGTAATATAGCTTATACATCAGATTAACATATAGGCTATAAATTTCACGGGGGTGAAACCGCGGGCACTGGTAGTATTAAATAAATATGAAATTTCTAAAAGCAAAATTGAATAAAAAATATCCAAATTGAAATACCTACCAGACTATTATAATGAGATATAACGGATGTCTTTTAACATAATTGACCACGAACACGTCATCTTTACTTCCTACGTAAAACAGTGATTACTGGGCCACATTTAATATATGAACAAATCTAGAACTAAAATATATTAATAACAGCAAAAGCAAAACTGTATATAAGAACCTCCATTTCAAGAATAATGTAAATCTTATTAATATTTAAAACAACATTTAAACATTTTTAAATAGTTTATTTTTCTTGTTTAGCTTAACAGTTAATAAAATTGAAGGTAAAAGAAACCTTGTAGTAAATATAGTATCATACATATTATACTATAGGTATTCACTAAATTTTATTAACTGCGCATCAGATGATTTATATATATACTATTAGATTTACAATATTTCACAATATTTATTCATATCGGATATATCTAGCCGGTATATGCATATATTGATTGGCATACATTGGTCACGTAGAGTCGTTTATGCAATGACCTCTTAAATTGATTAGTGGCCAACTAAACGTATAATCAAGTCAAAATAAACGAATAAACAACTAGAATAAGGAAAGGAATACGAAAAAAAAGAAATTGAGATATAGCCACTAAGTATAATCCAAATCTAAGTAGGCGTAGGTCTGTAATAATTAATTCAACGTAAAGGCAGCACACTAACCCACACATAAAGACAAAAATGTTTCCTATTGTGTGTTACCTACACCATTGTAAATTATCACAAGTTAATGATCTCATTACTCATGGTACACAGCTCAATTGGTCTAACGATCCTATCTGTTACTGATAACGGTATCTGGTGCAATAATTTAAAAAGCATTTAGTATAGGTCAATAAATGAATACATTAATAGCTATATGGGACCATTTAATGTATTGTATGGTAGAAATCGTAATTTCAACATTAGGATTGCGGGATCAGGCGACGCGGGCGCCGGCAGACTGTGCTATTTGTGGTGGTCGAGGGCGGTAGCACCCGCGAATTTGACTAGTTCATGCGCGAATTCTAAACACAGACCGCATTCTAACACGACATTCTCACGTTTGGCGCAAGCGCTACTTGCACTAGTATACATAATAAATGAATAATCAATATTTGCATTTAGAAATTCAGTAGAACTACTGCTTAGTTCTTATTATAGTCCTTAATACATTTGTGACTATTCTAGTATTTGGGTCATGTTTCTAGTACGGTTTAAAAGCTCCAACAACAGTTAAGATGTTATGTATAAACACGGGTAAAACGTGTGATGTTACATTGTAATTACTGTACTACAGTACACTGTTACGTGAGTTACTAAATATTTCTTTACCGTCCTAATTATATTAATAACATTTAGGTACATATTCGAGGAAATGATTTGTAGAAACATTAGAGTTTAACATGAATCACTTCAAAATAAATATCTGCATAATTTCGTCATTCACAGTAAATTCTATTAATACAAGATTTATAGATCCATCCAGTAGATTTTAGACTAGCCGGAATAGCAAAATAGTTGATGGAAATTGACAACCGCATTGAACAGATATTGATAAAGATATGGACAATTGTATTCATACGGTTAATTTCCTACAACTATTCCACATATAACGATAAAGTCATATCAAAGACATACTCATATTTGGACAAGTGACTGATGCTGCATTGTAGCAAACTAAACATTTCGCCCAGTATCCGCTTCACTTTCTAGAACATTGAATTAATATATGAATATATCCATAACGTTAAATCAGTAAGTTAATAATGTTTTAGTTTCTGGCGGCTACTGAAAATATATTAAATAGTTAATGATTTCTTTTCTATTTATTATAAATGCACTGATATTATGAATAAACCATTATACATTGTTTTTTTTTGTAAAAAAAAAGTAATCACGCATAGCGGCACTGTGCACTATTACCATGGTTACTGCTTCTGACCTATTGTCTGACCGTCCCCTACTTACTGGATAGTAAACATAGCATTACACTAACATGATTATGGGTTACACGAATCGCCCGCGCTCCACTGCCACCGGCCCACCGCCCAGACAATACATACGGTCGTTGACACATATTGCTATTTTCTCTAAAATTTGAACCGTAGCCAATGCTGTTGAACTTTGTAATTTAGCAGTATGCTTGACATTGTCTTTGAGAATCTACAAAGATAACACATCCGTTTCAAGACGCAGTGTAAGTTGAGATGAGAATATGAAAATGGATGTACAGTGGTACGGTATAAAAGTAACGGACAAGACTAAAAATGAGTCCATAAGGGGACAAGTTTCAAATTTAATCATTGATAGAGAAAATCCTTGATTGCCACCACTGTAGCATAAGAACAAAGTTATTTTGAGTTTACATTAGTTACTTAGTTATTGAGATATACTTAATAATAATTGCATAGATTGTTTAAAATAGAATATGATACACCGGAAAGTGTCATCATAACTGCTATGAAGGAGTATAAATAGTATGAAGGGAAGAAAATATTGATCCGTTCAAGATATGGGCTAAGGACAATAACAAAACAATTTTGCACATATTTCAAATTAGTTGCATTGATAACAATGAAATAATACCGGAGCAAGAAAGTCCATTAGTCACAAGTTTATAAATAAATATAATAGTCACGATGCATTTATAATAGAATGAAATTGATAGGATTAAATATTCAAAGTGTTCTGTGCCAAACTATAAAAGGAAATTTATGCCGCACTCTATTATCAGCAGGCAACAGAGAATGGACGATCTGAGGCTAAAAATAAAATATTGTTAACTAATTTAGTGAATTCTGAAGCTGTCAATAAACTCAGCGTCTGTCAGCTGGAATTCATTTTATAATTCTACCATAGAGTAACCATGTTGAATGTATATAATAATATTATGTATATGTTTATTTAGAAAAAATTTACATAACGCAGACTTGAGCCTTGTAGATCAATTAAACAGACAGCAAGTATAAAGAATATGTCCTCCTA